CATAGCCTTCTTGTACAGCTGCAGCTTCTCCTTCAATGGCGTCAGTGCAGTCTTAAGTTCCTCCTGGAATGGAATGGCAAGATAATAACACTTTAACACATACTACAGGGTCAGGCTGGCCACGAGCACAATGTGTTGCTTCAACTGCCAGGTACCGCTGCATCGCAGCCCCATCACAGCATTCAGCTGCATGTGTGAAAGGTCACAATACCTCCTTGACTGGAAGATCCAGCTCAATTGATAGCTGGACCTAGCTAATGCCACGGCAACATTAACAGAGTTTGGATCATGTGATTGAGTGACAAGAGAGGGTGGAGATGATGATGATGAAACAAAATGGCTACACACAGATTCATAAAGTCAACGTGCCAGAGCAAGATACAGTGGGGAGAACAAGTATTTGATACACTGCCTATTTTGCAGGTTTTCCTACTCACAAAGCATGTAGAGGTCTGTAGTTTTTATCATAGGTACACTTCAACTGTGAGAGACGGAAACTAAAACAAAAATCCAGAAAATCACATTGTATGATTTTTAAGTAATTAATTTGCATTTTATTCCATGACATAAGTATTTGATCACCTACCAACCAGTAAGAATTCCGGCTCTCACAGACCTGTTTTTTCTTTAAGAAGCCCTCCTGTTCTCCACCCATTACCTGTATTAACTGCACCTGTTTGAACTCGTTACCTGTATAAAAGACACCTGTCCACACACTCAATCAAACAGACTCCAACCTCTCCACAATGGCCAAGACCAGAGAGCTGTGTAAGGACATCAGGCATAAAATTGTAGACCTGCACAAGGCTGGGATGGGTTACAGGACAATAGGCAAGCAGCTTGGTGAGAAGGCAACAACTGTTGGCGTAATTATTAGAAAATGGAAGAAGTTCAAGATGACGGTCAATCACCCTCGGTCTGGGGCTCCATGCAAGATCTCACCTCGTGGGGCATCAATGATCATGAGGAAGGTGAGGGATCAGCCCAGAACTACACGGCAGGACCTGGTCAATGACCTGAAGAGAGCTGGGACCACAGTCTCAAAGAAAACCATGGATTAAAATCCTGCAGCGCACGCAAGGTCCCCCTGCTCAAGCCAGCGCATGTCCAGGCCCGTCTGAAGTTTGCTAATGACCATCTGGATTATCCAGAGGAGGAATGGGAGAAGGTCATGTGGTCTGATGAGGTAAAAATAGAGCTTTTAGGTCTAAACTCCACTCGCCTTGTTTGGAGGATGAAGAAAGATGAGTACAACCCCAAGAACACCATCCAAACCGTGAAGCATGGAGGTGGAAACATCATTCTTTGGGGATGCTTTTCTGCAAAGGGGACAGGACGACTGCACCATATTGAGGGGAGGATGTATGGGGCCATGTATCGCGAGATCTTGGCCAACAACCTCCTTCCCTCAGTAAGAGCATTGAAGATGGGTCGTGGTTGGGTCTTCCAGCATGACAACGACCCGAAACACACAGCCAGGGCAACTAAGGAGTGGCTCCGTAAGAGGCATCTCAAGGTCCTGGAGTGGCCTAGCCAGTCTCCAGACCTGAACCCAATGGAAAATCTTTGGAGGGAGCTGAAAGTCTGTATTGCCCAGCGACAGCCCCGAAACCTGAAGGATCTGGAGAAGGTCTGTATGGAGGAGTGGGCCAAAATCCCTGCTGCAGTGTGTGCAAACCTGGCCAAGACCTACAGGAAACGTATGATCTCTGTAATTGCAAACAAAGGTTTCTGTACCAAATATTAAGTTCTGCTTTTCTGATGTATCAAATACTTATGTCATGCAATAAAATGCAAATTAATTACTTAAAAATCATACAATGTGATTTTCTGGATTTTTGTTGTAGATTCCGTCTCTCACAGTTGAAGTGTACCTATGATAAAAATGACAGACCTCTACATGCTTTGTAAGTAGGAAAACCTGCAAAATCGGCAGTGTATCAAATACTTGTTCTCCCCACTGTATGTAGAAAGTTTGGACATTGAGTTTTCTGCATTGTGAGGCACACTCAAGCTCATGATTCATGCTCTGTTGATGTTGTCTTTGAGTATTAAATTCTAAGATTAAAATGTGTCTAGGTGAAAGCTGCCTTGTCCCTAGAACTGGGTCAAAGACAGATGGTGGGACAGGCGAGGAGTGGAATGTAGAGGGGCACACTTGAGAAGCCTTCTGGGATCTAGTTTCATTCCTCCCAGGGGCCCAAGCAGTGACCAACCCAAAATATGAATCTATTAATAGAGTGATTCCAAACCCCCTATTAACCATCATGTCAAAGGTGATTTCTATAACATAAAGGTTTTTACAACACAAAACTGTAAAAAACAAAGTAAAATATGATACTTTTCATGATGATAGAAGTGCTGCTGGTTTAGCAACTTGTGAAAGTTTTGGGCTACAAAAAAATAGTTATTTGACAATGCGGGCGGTAAAGGATGACAGCCGGAGGTTAGATGAGACTGAACATACAGATGAAAGTGAGTTTCCCTCTGACAAGCAAAGTTAAGAGCAAGGGTATAGATGATGAGAGACATTCAGTGACCGTGACACTGACAGCACCATGAAGACAACTAAGGTTGTGCTCGCCTACCTTACAGTCGTGTGCACCTTCCCCAATGGGGTAGAGCCTGTGCCCCTTGTGTACCGCCGACGTCTGGCACGCAACACAGATGGGCTGCAGATCGTCCAGACAGAAGAGTGTGAGTATCTCTCCATGTTCCTTACACGCCATAGGGTTATTCCTGCTGCTCATCTCCTTCCTGAAGGACTCGCAGGTCTTCTCCAGAATGGTGTTCACCACAATCTCATTCATGGAGGAACGTCTCCAGCACAGAGGGCAGAAGTGGCAGTCGTCCTCACCTTCCTGGGTACTCCAGCTGTCCTGAAGGCATGTTTTACAGAACCTGTGTCTGCAGGAGAGCACCACGGGCTGGTTGAAGATAATTCCACAGATGGGGCAGGAGAGATCGTCTTCACGGTGCCTGGACGCCATTCTGCCTATCAGGTTTTTAAAACAGGGCTGGAGCAGCAGCAGGGTCAGATAAGGTTACTATGCTCCTCCCACCCCTGTTGCCGGGGTTCTCTGGGGTCTACCCCAGTTCAACTTTAATACTTAAAGGAAATTAATATGTCCATAGGGCTTCCATCGGCTTGAGTAGTGGATATGCAAATAAACACCTCCCACTGCATAATAAAACACAGCTATCCACCAAATATCTTTGAAGCACAAAAACATCCTGTGGCGTAAAGCATTAGCATCAAATAGCCCCCGCGATATGCAACTTTTCAGGGAAGTTAGGAACCAATATACACAAGCAGTCAGGAAAGCAAAGGCTAACTTTTTCAAACAGAAATTTGCATCCTGTAGCACTAACTCCAAAAAGTTTTGGGACACTGTAAAGTCCATGGAGAATAAGAGCACTTCCTCCCAGCTGCCCACTGCACTGAGGCTAGGAAACACTATCACCACCGATAAATCTACAATAATCGAGAATTTCAACAAGCATTTTGCTACAGCTGGCCATGCTTTCCATCTGGCTACCACTAACCCGGCCACCAACTCTGCACCCTCTGCTGCAACTTGCCCATGCCCCCCCCCGCTTCTCCTTCACACAAATTCAGACAGCTGATGTTTTGAAAGCGCTGCAAAATCTGGACCCCTACAAATCAGCTGGGCTAGACAATCTGGACCCTTTCTTTCTAAAACTAGCCGCTGAAATTGTCGCTACCCCTATTACTAGTCTGTTTAACCTCTCTTTCATAACGTCTGAGATCCCCAGAGATTGGAAAGCTGCCGCGGTCATCCCCCTCTTCAAAGGGGGTGACACTCTAGATCCAAACTGCTACAGACCTATATCCATCCTGCCCTGCCTTTCGAAAGTATTCGAAAGCCAAGTTAACAAACAGATCATCGACCATTTCGAATACCACCGTACCTTCTCCGCTATGCAATCCGGTTTCCGAGCTGGTCACGGGTGCACTTCAGCCACGCTCAAGGTCCTAAACGATATTATAACCGCGATTGATAATAGACAGTACTGTGCAGCCGTCTTCATCGACCTGGCCAAGGCTTTCGACTCTGTCAACCACCGCATTCTTATTGGCAGACTAAATAGCCTTGGTTTCTCAAATGACTGCCTCGCCTGGTTCACCAACTACTTCTCAGATAGAGTTCAGTGTGTCAAATCGGAGGGCCTGTTGTCTGGACCTATGGCAGTCTCTATGGGGGTGCCACAGGGTTCAATTCTTGGGCCGACACTTTTCTCCGTGTATATCAATGATGTCGCTCTTGCTGCTGGTGACTCTCAGATCCACCTCTACGCAGACGACACCATTTTGTATACATCTGGCCCTTCATTGGACACTGTGTTAACAAACCTCCAAACGAGCTTCAATGCCATACAACAATCCTTCAGTAGCCTCCAACTGCTCTTAAACACTAGTAAAACTAAATGCATGCTTTTCAATCGAACGCTGCTGGCACCCGCCCACCCGACTAGAATCACCACTCTCGACGGGTCTGACCTAGAGTATGTGGACAACTACAAATACCTAGGTGTCTGGTTAGACTGTAAACTCAACTTCCAGACTCACATAAAGAATCTCCAATCCAAAGTTAAATCTAGAATCGGCTTCCTATTTCGCAATAAAGCCTCCTTCACTCATGCTGCCAAACATGCCCTCGTAAAACTGACTATCCTACCGATCCTTGACTTCGGCGATGTAATTTACAAAATAGCCTCCAACACTCTACTCAGCAAATTGGATGTAGTCTATCACAGTGCCATCCGTTTTGTCTCCAAAGCCCCATACACTACCCACCACTGTGACCTGTACGCTCTTGTTGGCTGGTACTCACTACATGTTCGTCGTCAAACCCACTGGCTCCAGGCCATCTATAAATCACTGCTAGGCAAATCCCCGCCTTATCTTAGCTCATTGGTCACCATAGCAGCACCCACCCGTAGTCTGCGCTCCAGCAGGTATATCTCACTGGTCATTCCCAAAGCCAACACCTCCTTTGGCCGCCATTCCTTCCAGTTCTCTGCTGCCAATGACTGGAACGAATTGCAAAAATCTCTGAAGCTGGAGACTCTTATCTCCCTCAATAACTTTAAGCATCAGTTGTCAGAGCACCTTACCGATCACTGCACCTGTACACAGCCCATCCGAAATTAGCCCACCCAACTACCTCATCCCTATATTGTTATTTATTTTGCTCTTTTGCAACCCAGTATCTCTATTTGCACATAATCTCTTGCACATCTAGCATTCCAGTGTTAATACTATTGTAATTATTCTGCACTATAGCCTATTTATTGCCTTACCTCCATAACTTGCTACATTTGCACACACTGTATATAGATTTTCTGTTGTATTTCTGACTTTATGTTTTTTTTTTTACCCCATATGTAACTCTGTTGTTTTTATTGCACTACTTTGCTTTATCTTGGCCAGGTCGCAGTTGTAAATGAGAACCTGTTCTCAACTGGCTTACCTGGTTAAATAAAGGTGAAATAAAAAAATAAAAATAAAAAAGGAAGACCAGAGAGTGAGTGATAGTCCCACTTCATTGACGCAGTGTTCTGAGATCAGTGTTGTTGAAGAGGGGGGAAGATTGGCACGTCAGAGTGATGATGCCAGGGGGTCTGCCTTAAACAGCCAATAACATTTTGATGATGGTGATGCAATAATCATTTGATCATTTAATAAGTCACAAGACAAGACTGGTGGGGGCAGCATATTGCGTAAGAATGATATGGTCCATCAGAGTCTGGGAAGAAACACAATAACCAAGAAAAGATGGGAAGACGGTGAGTATTAATAGGTGGGGAGAAAGTATTAGGTGGGAGGGAGGAGGGTAAGAAAATACCCCTCCACTGACCCCTGAAACATTTTCCACAGTCCAACTTAGCCTTGACTAAGTGCTGGGTCTAACATTTGACAAATCCCTGTCCTGAAAGCGCCCCATGGTCCAAGATGTCTTAAAACACTAAATTGTCGTGCAAATGGGCCATAATTTACTATTTTTTGTATTTTGTCCTAAAGTCCATTTAAGTCACTGTAAATTATTAACCTGCATTTGTTGGTAACACTTTACCCAAAGCCTACATGTATAATGCATGATGATGTGGTTGTAATGCATTTGTAAGACTTGTCATAAGCAAATATGATGCCCCTATAATGTCTTAAAGGTATAGTTTCTTTAATGTTTTTAAGTTTAGCTCATTTTCGACCTAGGGTGTTGTTGTTTCTGGATGTTACTAAATAACCAGCGAGCTCATTTAAAAACGGTTTGGTGGAAACAACAACACCCTAGGGAAGTTGAAAATATGCCAAACTTTCTAAAAACTATCCCATTAATGTATTCATTTTTTTGTTCTGTCCAGCTTTCTGGTGCCTGACACTCTCATTCAAATCAGAATAATGGGTTTTATAAGAGGAACATCAAAACAACTAATGTTTTTGCCACACGTAGGGACTATTTATTGGGGACAAAGTTGTTAAAGTTTAGTGGCATTTAGCTGAACGTGCATTCTGGTTGCTGAAGCTATTATTATAGTAACCCAATAGTTTGGGTAGTGGGAGTTAGACCACAAGGATCAAATCCTGCACTGGGAATAGATTTAAACACTAAATAGATGTACTGTCACAGCTTACCTTGCAGTCCACCACTGCTTCAGCTATTGGGTACACTTTGTGATCCTTATGGTCAACTGACCAATGATAATCACAGATAGGCTGCAGGTCCGTGACACAGAAGATCTTCAGTTTGTCCCTGTGTTCCTCACATGTTCTCTGAGGACCTCTAGGGTAGTCGATGATGCACAAAGGACATATTTCAGAACCCTGCTTCTCCCAGAACTCATCCAGACAGGGATTGCAGAAGCTACAGCCACAGGTATGGCAGCTGAGAACCACAGGAACAGAGAAGACCTCTCTACATACAGCACAGGAGAGATCATCATCCTCCAGGATAGAGGAAGCTTTGGCCTCCATTCTCCCACAGAGCTAGAGCTGGACTCCTGTATGCATCTATAACAGGCCGCAGTGGCTCAGATATGGTTACGCTGGCCTGTGAGCCTTCGCCCCTCTGACATTTATTTTACTCCAAGCTTTGTAAATCAAGAGTGAACTTTATAGTGACATTGAATAGCAGCACAAGTCAATATCTAATTTGTGCCAAATGAGAACCTGAACGGGAAAATTATTATCATTTGTGATTATAATTAACTACCTTTTGAGAAGAATATTATCACCTCACAGAAGAATTAGAAATCAACTGAGAATAATTTCCCTGACCGACCCTTCTGAAGAGCAACATGAAGTATGTACAAAGATCGACTCCAGCTACTATGCAAATGTACACCAGCGCTGACACCGACCGAGGTACTACTGACACACACACACACACACACACACAGCCATCCAATGACAGAGACATTCAACTGAGCCCACATATGGTGGTTCACCCCACCCTACAATATAGCTGACTGAAGAGACTGACATGAGTGACCGACTTCACACTGACCCAAGGAGGAATGGGGGCAGGGGTTAAAAAGAATATGTTAAAAACGGGGTGTTAATTGCCCAACCTTTTAAGGTACTCAAAATGTAGGATAAATCATGCATGAGACATAAATAGCCTTATCTTTATTACCAAGAGGTTCAGTAGTTTACAACTTAATGTTAGATGGTTCCTAACCCTGAAAGTAGTCTATTAGCCAGGAGAAACTTTAGTCCATGGTTCGGATGTCATTAAACAGGCACTACAAACGTCAGCTAAGATTAGCCACCACTAGCTAAAATTCAATGGGAGTACAGCACATGTTCAACGTTTTTTGGCCAAATCACCTTAAAGTAGCATCAAATTAAGTCATGGAGTAATGAATATGAATTTGGAGGACATAAATTATTAAATATTAAAGCATTAGACCTATCACTAAAAGCTTCAGTCATACAAAAGTTATACTTAAATCCGAACTGGTTCTCTAGCAAATTAGTAAGATTGTCTCACCCCATCTTCAAGAATGGCCTTTTTCCCTTTATTCAGATTACAACCTCTCAATTTCAGTTATTTGAAAAGGAAATCATCTCCCAAATATCACTATTTCTAAAACAAGCCATAGAAAGTTGGTTGCAATTTCAATGTAATCCTCCAGAAACGACAGAACAAATAATGCAACAAAAATTGTGGTTAAACTCAAATATACTGATTGATAAAAAGGTATAATCTTCTTAAATTATATCATAGGTAGGACTGGATGAGTTATGTCGCACATGCAGCTAACAAAAACATATGGAAATGTCTGCTCAAAATTACAACCAAATAATTGCAGCATTACCGCAAAAATGGAAGAGGAAAGTGGAAGGGGGAAAAAATAAGGAACTTGTCTGTCGGCCCTGCATTAAAGAACATAATTGGTTAAAGAAAATTGTGATAAATAAAAAAGTATACGAGTTTCATTTAAGGACCAAAGGATTGACAGCCGTCCCATATACAGTTGAAGTCGGAAGTTTACATACACCTTAGCCAAATACATTTAAACTCAGTTTTTCACAATTCCTGACATTTAATCCTAGTAAAAATTCCCTGTCTTAGGTCAGTTAGGATCCACACTTTATTTTAAGAATGTGAAATGTCAGAATAATAGTAGAGAGAATGATTTATTTCAGCTTTTATTTATATCATCACATTCCCAGTGGGTCAGAAGTTTACATACACTCAATTAGTATTTGGTATGGTAGCATTGCCTTTAAATTGTTTAACTTGGGTCAAACGTTTCGGGTAGCCTTCCACAAGCTTCCCACAATAAGTTGGGTGAATTTTGGCCCATTCCTCCTGACAGAGCTGGTGTAACTGAGTCAGGTTTGTAGGCCTCCTTGCTCGCACACGCTTTTTCAGTTCTGCCCACACATTTTCTATAGGATTGAGGTCAGGGCTTTGTGATGGCCACTCCAATACCTTGACTTTGTTGTCCTTAAGCTATTTTGCCACAACTTTGGAAGTATGCTTGGGGTCATTGTCCATTTGGAAGACCATGCTGCTCCCAGAACTCCTCCAGACAGGGTTTGCAGAAACTACAGCCACTGTTATTGCAGCTGTATATAACTGGCACACCGAAGACCCCTCTACATACAGGACAGGTGGAATTGTTCTCCAGGAGAGTTTTGGCCTCCATTCTACCTCAGGGCTGGAGCTGTATGTGGAGCTGTATCCTGTATACTGTATATGTATCTATAACAGGCTGCAATGGCTCAGATATGGTTACAGTGATCCTCTAAATGGCGTATGAGTCTTGGCCCCTATGACATTTATTTTACTGCAAGCTTTGTAAATCAAGTGTGAACTTTATAGTGACATTGATCAACCGAGATGCTGCTGTGCAAATGAACACTTATTTTACACACAAAAAAAAATAGAAAAAGTAAAAGCAAACCTGTGACATTTCAACATGCAAATAGCACTTGTAGTAAAACAGCCTACGTTTTTTGGTTATGAAGTTAGACAGTTAAACTTATAGTGAGTCACATGACACTTGGCAGTGAATCATGTTGATGATAGTTACATTTCCCTTCCACTAGAGGGGAGTAACATCTAGCTGCTGACTGGATGTAAGATCTGAGCACAATCAATTTCCATAGAGATGTACTAGATAGCTCATCTCCTATCTTTGCAATGGCCGCTTCGTTGACAGCATGGGCAGCGTCATTGAGGGCTATCACCATTTAAAAGTAGTCAATTTCTACTTCTATGAGAGTATTGGCAGTTTGTAAATAAACTAAAAAGGTGCTAAACACCACCTACTGTGCTGGAGTCTGAACAGATATGAAGCCAAGGTTGGTGATTTACTGCCACCTGCAGTTATAGAATGTTTGCTCAGGGGTATAATTATTTGGCTTACCCCTCCTGCTGACCTGGATGGAATTCTGTGATCATTCCTTAACGGCTTAACCCATAGCAAGTCCCACCTAGTTTACTACTTAAAAATTGTGAAAGCCCTCAATGGCGCTGGCCATGTTAAAACAGGCTTTGGTCCTAGTGTGCCTTCTAGCCGACTCTATGCGAGTGACTGACTTCATACTGACCCAGGGAGGAATGGTGGCAGGGGCTCTTTTTTAGTGTGAGAGTATGATAAAGTGTATGTTCTGACCCAACCTTTTAAGTAACTCAACATTGAGTATAAATCATGCATGAGATACAAACAACCCATAACTTAAAGTGATGCTAGAGAGGTTTTGTATAATTTCAGCCACTAGTTTAGAAATTAACGCTAATGAGCCGAAACGGGTCCCCTGACAATTGTGCACAATTGTGTACAACGCCATCCATTTCGTATGATGTTACGTCCTGCATTTAAAAAAATGCGATTCTTATATGTTACGAATTCCAATCCGTACAATATGTTACAAAGTTGTAAGTGCTTAAGATCCCGTTCAATCTCTTTAAGGTCGGCCATATAAAATAAAATAAATATAAAATACCTTGCAGTCCTCCAGAGCCTCGATAATAGGGTACACCCTGTGTTCGACATGCTAACCTGTGAGACGACACTCAGTACATATAGGCTGCAGGTCCGTGACACAGAAGAGGGAGAATTTGTTACCATGTTCCTCACATGTTCTCTGAGCAGGTCCAGGATCGTTTAGGATGCACATAGGACAAATTTGAGAACCCTGCTGCTCCCAGAACTCCCCCAGACATTGTTTGCAGAAGCTACATCCACAGGCATGGCAGCTGAGAACCACAGGGAAAGTGAATATCTCTCCACACACAGTGCAGGACTCGGACTCTGTCTCCTCCATTCTCTCTGGGACACAAACAGCACAGGACTCGGTCTCCTCTATTGTCTCTTGGAGCTGCTGCAGCTAAACTCCTATATCTAGGCGGCAGGTAGCTTAGTGGTTAAGAGCGTTGTCCCAGTAACCGAAAGGTCGCTGGTTCTAATCCCCGAGCCGACTAGGTGTAAAATCTGTCGATGTGCCCTTGAGCAAGGCACTTAACCTTAATTGCTCATGTAAGTCGCTCTGGATAAGAGCGTCTGCTAACTGTATAACTGGCATTTGTTCTACATGCACACTACCGGTCAAAACTTTTAGAACACCTACTCATTCAAGGGTTTTCTTAATTTTTACTATTTTGTACATTGTAGAATAATAGTGAAGACATCAAAACTATGAAATAACACATGTGGAATCATGTAGTAACCAAAAAAGTAATAAACTAATAAAAATATATTTTATATTTGAGATTCTTCAAATAGCCACACTTTGCATTGATGACAGCTTTACACACTCTTGGCATTCTCTCAACCAGCTTCACCTGGAATGCTTTCCCAACAGTCTTGAAGGAGTTCCCACATATGCTGAGCACTTGTTGGCTGCTTTTCCTTCACTCTGCGGTCCAACTCATCCCAATCCATCTCAATTTGGTTGAGGTCGGGGGATTGTGGAGGCCAGGTCATCTGATGCAGCACTCCATCACTCTCCTTCATGGTAAAATAGCCCTTACACAGCCTGGAGATGTGTTGGGTCATTGTCCTGTTGAAAAACAAATGACAGTCCCACTAAGCCCAAACCAGATGGGATGGCGTATCGCTGCAGAATGCAGTGGTAGCCATGCTGGTTAAGTGTGCCTTGAATTCTAAATAAATCACAGACAGTGTCACCAGCAAAGCACCCCCACACATAACACCTCCTCCTCCATACTTTACGGTGGGAAATACAAATGCGGAGATCATCCGTTCACCCACACTGCGTCTCACAAAGACATGGCGGTTGGAAGCAAAAATCTCAAATTTGGACTCCAGACCAAAGGACAAATTTCCACCGGTCTAATGTCCATTGCTCGTGTTTCTTAGCCCAAGCAAGTCTCTTCTTATTATTGGTGTCCTTTAGTAGTGGTTTCTTTGCAGCAATTCGACCATGAAGAACTGATTCACACAGTCTCCTCTGAACAGTTGATGTTGAGATGTGTCTGTTACTTGAACTCCATGAAGCATTTATTTGGGCTGCAATTTCTGAGGCTGGTAACTCTAATGAACTTATCCTCTGCAACAGAGGTAACTCTGGGTCTTCCATTCCTGTGGCGGTCCTCATGAGAGCCAGTTTCATCATAGTGCTTCAGGGTTTTTGCGACTGCACTTGAAGAAACTTTCAAAGTTCTTGACATTTTCCGTATTGACTGACCTTCATGTCTTAAAGTAATGATGGACTGTCATTTCTCTTTGCTTATTTGAGCTGTTCTTGCCATAATATGGACTTGGTCTTTTACCAAATAGGGCCATCTTCTGTATACCCCCTCTGCCTTGTCACAACACAACTGATTGGCTCAAATGCATTAAGAAGGAAAGAAATTCCACAAATGAACTTTTAAGAAGTCACACCTGTTAATTGAAATGCTATCCAGGTGACTACCTCATGAAGCTGGTTGATAGAATGCCAAGAGTGTGCAAAGCTGTCATCAAGGCAAAGGGTGGCTATTTGAAGATTCTCAAATATAACATATATTTTGATTTGTTTAACACTTTTTTGGTTACTACATGATTCCATGTGTTATTTCATAGTTTTGATGTCTTCACTGTTATTCTACAATGTAGAAAATAGTAAAAATAAAGAAAAACCCTTGAATGAGTAGGTGTTCTAAAACTTTTGACCGGTAGTGTATATACAGTATGTACATGGCTCGCAGGCCAGATATAGTTACAGGAATGGGAATTCCATACCAAAGCTTAGCCTAATTGCCTCTTGTTGAACCACACTGCAGTATATATTGAAGGTTGTGATAAGTCAAGAACAAAAACTAGTTTAGGGGGCAAATAAATGTTATGAGAAGAACTACAGTCCTTCCATTATCCACGGTATAGAGAGGATTAACTTTGTCATCAATTGATCTACTTCAACGTTCATGGAAAAGAGCCTAAAATATAGACACTCAGGAACAACTCCACTATCTTTGCTTTCATTTGGGAGAGACTAAAGGCACTTTGGTTGCATCTCAAGTCAACAACGACTTCCTCTCATCTCCTTCATCTGCTCTGAGGTAAAGGAACTGGACAGGTGAAAGCAAATGCCTGGTGGAGGGCAGCCGCAATGTTGTCACCTGTTCAGTGTTTTCAGAACTAGACAAGGGGAGGAAGCCACAGTAGACTATTGAGATGCAGCCTTGGTTGACCAACTTACAATAGTGCTTCGAAAAAAAGATACCTGGGAGCTGTGGAGCTGCAGACTATTTCTGGTGTCACAACATAAAGCTATTAACAACAGTGAATGCCAATTCTTCTTCAATTAGTGGCCAGATTCTAACTACAGGCCTTGGGTTTATTGCTGCTACCTAACGCAAAGGTGTGCACACTGCACATGTACAGTGAGGGAAAAAAGTATTTGATCCCCTGCTGATTTTGTACGTTTGCCCATTGACAAAGACATGATCAGTCTATAATTTTAGTGGTAGGTTTATTTGAACAGTGAGAGACAGAATAACAACAACAAAAAACAACAGAAAAACGCATGTCAAAAATGTTATAAATTGATTTGCATTTTAATGAGGGAAATAAGTATTTGACCCCTCTGCAAAACATGACTTAGTACTTGGTGGCAAAACCCTTGTTGGCAATCACAGAGGTCAGACGTTTCTTGTAGTTGGCCACCAGGTTTGCACACATCTCAGGAGGGATTTTGTCTCACTCCTCTTTGCAGATCTTCTCCAAGTCATTAAGGTTTCGAGCCTGACGTTTGGCAACTCGAACCTTCAACTCCCTCCACAGATTTTCTATGGGATTAAGGTCTGGAGACTGGCTAGGCCACTCCAGGACCTTAATGTGCTTCTTCTTGAGCCACTCCTTTGTTGCCTTGGCCGTGTGTTTTGGGTCATTGTCATGCTGGAATACCCATCCACGACCCATTTTCAATGCCCTGGCTGAGGGAAGGAGGTTCTCACCCAAGATTTGACGGTGCATGGCCCCGTCCATCGTCCCTTTGATGCGGTGAAGTTGTCCTGTCCCCTTCGCAGAAAAACACCCCCAAAGCATAATGTTTCCACCTCCATGTTTGACGGTGGGGATGGTGTTCTTGGGGTCATAGGCAGCATTCCTCCTCCTCCAAACACGTCGAGTTGAGTTGAGTTGATGCCAAAGAGCTCGATTTGGTCTCATCTGACCACAACACTTTCACCCAGTTCTCCTCTGAATCATTCAGATGTTCATTAGCAAACTTCAGACGGGCCTGTATATGTGCTTTCTTGAGCAGGGGGACCTTGCGGGCGCTGCAGGATTTCAGTCCTTCACAGCGTAGTGTGTTACCAATTGTTTTCTTGGTGACTATGGTCCCAGCTGCCTTGAGATCATTGACAAGATCCTCCCGTGTAGTTCTGGGCTGATTCCTCACCATTCTCATGATCATTACAACTCCACGAGGTGAGATCTTGCATGGAGCCCCAGGCCAAGGGAGATTGACAGTTATTTTGTGTTTCTTCCATTTGCAAATAATCGAACTGTTGTCACCTTCTCACCAAGCTGCTTGGCGATGGTCTTGTAGCCCATTCCAGCCTTATGTAGGTCTACAATCTTGTCCCTGACATCCTTGGAGAGCTCTTTGGTCTTGGCCATGGTGGAGAGTTTGGAATCTGATTGATTGATTGATTGCTTCTGTGGACAGGTGTCTTTTATACAGGTAACAAACTGAGATTAGGAACACTCCCTTTAAGAGTGTGCTCCTAATCTCAGCTCGTTACCTGTATAAAATATACCTGGGAGCCAGAAATCTTTCTGATTGAGAGGGGATCAAATACTTATTTTCCTCATTAAGATACAAATCAATTTATAACATTTTTGACATGCATTTTTCTGGATTTTGTTGTTGTTATTCTGTCTCTCACTGTTCAAATAAACCTACCATTAAAGTTATAGTCTAATCATTTCTTTGTCAGTGGTCAAACTTACAAAATCAGCAGGGGATCAAATACTTTTTTCCCTCACTGTAGATGCTTGCTGACTGACAAAGCATTTGTTTATGATTGATAATTTGTTTGGTGCGTAATGATTGGATATCTGTGTGGTTATTTCTTCACTTAAAAGTCCATCATGTACAGTACGAGTCAAAAGTTTGGACACACCTACTCATTTAAGGGTTTTTCTTAATTTTCTCTATTTTTTACATTGTAGAATAATAATGAAGACATCAAAACTATGAAATAACACATATGGAATCATGTAGTAACCAAAAAAGTGTTAAACAAATCAAAATATATTTTATATTTGAGATTCTTCAAATAGCCACCCTTTGCCTTGATGACAGCTTTGCACACTCTTGGCATTCTCTCAACCAGCTTCATGAGGTAGTCACCTGGAATGCATTTCAATTAACAGGTGTGACTTCTTAAACGTTAAACGTCGGTGGGATGTAGAATACAGGTGCCAGGTCAAGTTTACAACATGCACCTTCTCAGTTGCACTTAGGCCTAAAAATGAAAGTCTGACATATTTGGTAGAAAAATCTCTGTAGTATTATTATTATAGTATTGCATCGCTTATCCACAAAGTATTCACAAATTATTCACAAAATTGGCATTAAAACAAACAGAAAGTCCTCACTGAGGAGCATAATTTGAATTTAAAAACGAAATGTTACAAAGAAAAAAGCCCATATGGACAATATTAAAAACGAAATGTACTTGTAAACATTGTGAGATGGACAAGTGAAATGTCCTTATGGGGTTCAGTGCTGCCAAGCCTCCAATTTCTGTTGGACAAAAGATATGGTCACCTCATGATGTCATAGTTGCAACATACAGTCATACTGTAGTTTACATCAGTTTAGATAGATGTCAAAAATGTATCCTAACTCCTAAGATAGACAATTCCTGGTCAACCTAAGCTACTTTGTTTCATGTAGCAGCATATCTATTTCTCCCTCTCAGAAACAGTTTTATTGTTTGAACAGGGCTTGTCTTTAGGCCTGCACTGCCATTCAGTGAGGTTAATGGTTAACTGAAAGATAAAGGAAGTATGTTTCCATTAGATCACACAGTTTATTTCCTCCTTCACTGAAACTCTGTCATTTAATTTGATTATAAGGAACATTATTGCCTACTGAATTGTTGATCAAAGTTGTGGGCTATTATCAAGCAAAAACAATAGCCTACAATGAAGTTGGCCTATAAAACCTATAATCTATGCACATATTTAATGCAAATTAGGCCTATCCAATAACAACATGTATCCCTAGGCTATAGCCTAAATGTCTTACTGATCGATTGGAAATAATAGGTTAACCTTGTGCGCATTGCGCATCATATGGCCGAAGTCTCTGTAGCTGTGTGCGGGACAGGTATGTCAGTGTCCACGGATGCAGACACCGTGTGCACGTCCTCATCACGCGGGCCCATCGCCAATACGACAGGCGGGGGCTCCGGTTGCTGTTGGGCATCCCTCATGTGCGTCGTAGACAGCGCGGTCCCTGCCCTTCTCGCGACCCCTCGGGGGGGGCCTCCATTCCGCCGCAGAGAGTTCCTGATACTGTTGGAGAGACGGCTGGATAACCACCTCACCGCACCTGCGATGTCCCGCTCCTTCTTCAAGAGCCCGACGTCATCCTCCAGCTCCTCTGAGGGGACCTCGATATTGCCCGTGTACCAGAACACCCACCAAATGAGGCTGAGGAAGATGATGATGGCCCCGGCGTAGATTAAAAAGTCATAGAAGAATATGTCCGCAAAAACACCGATCAAAAGAACGAGCAGCCCGAATATGTCGAAGGACACTGCCAACCAAAAAGCGCAGGAACAGCGCCCCAGACCGCGGTACGTCGGCTCCATGTCTCTAAATTGGCTTCGAGATAGGCCTCACAAATACTTTGTTTAGACCACCTTTTCTTTTCTAACTATCATTTGCGGTTGGTTTCCTGGTGGAATTCGGTTGGGGTAGAGTTTCAAACGGAGCCGTTTGTTTGAAGGGGTAAGGTGAGACAGGTGAGGAAGCTCGTCCCTATTCAGGTTTACCTGTGTCACAGCACAGGGCACAGCACAGAGAGGAGTGGCGTGGTAGCCGTAGACAGGTGAGAGAACTGAGGGCGGGGTAGACGGGGATACTGGCATGACAACAGCCATATTAATACTGTAAATGCGGTAGGAAATGTGTGACATGCATTGTAGAAAGGAGCCATGATGGTTCTGATTTTCTAGATATCTGTCATCAGTTCAATATGCAGAAGGACGCCAAACATGGCACACTAATGTCTGTTCACAAGCATCATGATATTCCTTTCACCTGTGGAATGACATTCTGGAAAACATCTGACTCATTATGTGTCCCTCTCCCTCATTTTTACAAGAACATGATGGCAGAAATCTATTCACATCAGGATTTTTTCAATCAATTAAAACAGTAATGACACACACACAAAAGGCCTCCAAGGCTGTGTTTACAGAGGCAGACATATTCTGATATTTTTTCCACTAATTGGTCTTTTGACCAATCACATCAGATCTTTTCACATCAGATCTTTTTCAGAGCTGATCTGATTGGCCAATTAGGGGAAAAAATATCAGATTTGGGCTGCCTGTCTTTGCAGCCTTAGTATAATGTGATACACCCCACCATGACATTTCACCTGCCCTCTCACCTGACTGCCAAGTAAAGGCATGTAGGTCTATTGCCACCCTGTGGTCTTTTGTACAGAAACATATGGGTCCCCATACAATTCATTACTGTAAATGAAAGACTAGTATATCAAATCTAATTTATTATTCATCACACAATTATTGCATAATGTTCATAAATAATATTCACATTTAGAAAGAAGATAAAGGGTACATGAAGACTTTCTTCTCTCACAATGTTGAGAATTACATGGAATGAGAGTAGCCTACATGAATGATTGAAGAAATGCACAATGCAATGTAAAACCTCAAGTTTATGTAAACATTTTGGCTAATTTAGACCGAATTCAAATCCCACTGGCCCCCACCTTCCTTAAACATTAGTTTTGCTTTTGATCACTGCCAGATGGACACAGCCTTTTTGACCCAGAAACATAAAAGGTTAGACAATACATCCAGCAGAAGTATTTGGATGAGGGACAGAGCCAGGGTGCACCCACTACCACTCAGTGTCCAACTGTCCATCGTGACTTCGACAATCAGCAATAATCATGTCCTGTAGCATTTTCTGCCGCCGTAATCCTGTTTCTAAAGGATTTAGCAATCCACTACAACAGCAGCTACAAGGAAAACAGCGGCTTATGGTGGAAAAACAACAACTAATACAGATCACAATCAGACAGACAGATGGGATAGCCTGGGCCACAGCAGCAGGGCTATGTTCTGATCATGTTAAAACCCTCCAACAGAGCAATCACGATGTTCCCTTTTACAGGACGAGGTCATTCAATCCCATATTTGTATTAGGGCCTAGATATAGAGGACAGCTACATACAGAAGACATACAGTACATTTCACAGAGGTCTCTCTTGCAAAAGACTATCTATATGAATAAGACTAACCTGTATAAATAAAGGTTAAATAAATACAAATCTTTCTATGTTATGTTACACCTGCCTCCTCACACATTTATACATCTTTTAGGAAGTGTGCTTTTCAGAATTCTGTTGGGAGAAAACCCCACTAACACTGTTGACCTACTCTACAGTACAAAACACAACATCGTTTTAGCTTTAATAGTCCATGGTGCTTCAGTGCTGTTCATGCACCTGAAGCGCCTTGTCATTGACCTTGGTCAGAGCCTTGTAATCCAGTCTCTGTTTCACCACGGGCACCCATACCAGCCCCGTGACCAGGAACATGAGCCCCACAGAGAGGAACACAGGACCCAACAGGTAGGGCACGTTCCCCACCTGGGTGAAGTAGAGCAAGGAGAGGGCCGTGCCCAAGCCAAACAGCACCCCGCCGATAAGGATGGCCAGGATGGGCCTGGTGAAGTAGTACCAGCAGGGGAGGTTAGTGCCCAGGGTGACCCCGTCAGGGACAGGGTTCAGTGGGGTAGATGCTTCAGTGTCCTGAGCCTCGTGGCTGGTTCTACGATCCATGTCCGACATGGTGACCACTGTGGATTGCATCCTTGGGTTGTGCTGAGGAAGGGATACCAGACCAGACACCACTTAAAAGTATAGGACTTTATCAAGCACTGATACTTCACAGACATACTTTCAGAGATGTACAATTTACTATTTTGTCAACCAATCTGCCATTGCAGAACTCACTATTTCAGATCTTTTTATTTGACTTGTTAAAATTGCAATAAAACTACATGGAAAAGGGAATTCCATCCCATTTTTACATTCAATCAAATCCTGTAGTCTTAAATTTCATCCATGAATATAAACTTGGAAAAACAAAAAAGCAAACAATGTCCTTACCATTAGGCGTTTCGCCTGGGTTGTCGCTCACTCTTTGCCCAGTGTTGGTCAGAGGCTGGCTGGCTGCTCCTCCGATGACTTCTGTCAAAACCTCTACTCAGGCCAAAGCCACGCCCACAGAACAGTGACCCCACCCTGTCGTTCCTGCTCCTCATCCTCTCTCGCTCAGTGTCCCTCCACCATGTCATGACAATCTGCTTTGCTCCAGTTTGTGCCCTGTTGACATACAGTACATTCTCCCCACATGGCATTTTAGGCTATGTATTATGGGAATATGGAACAGTACATTATGATTATTTCTAAGATGTCAGTTGTAAGGGCTATGGCAGGGGCATGCCATCATGACCCTGTTTTTGATGGGGCCTGATGGCCAAATTCTACAAATAAAATAAATAGAATAGACATTGTACATTTGAATGATACAAATTGAGGTTTGAAAACGGCATGATACTTACAGAGAATGGGTAATTTATGGTATGGGAGAGGAATATTATATAGATTCTAATTGGGTCCAGATGTCAGCTGTGTATAGCTATTTAGGTTAGTGTATATACAGGTCATGTTTGATTTATTAAATTGATCTGCGATTAAAATGACAATATCCATTGGCGTTACACTTTAAAGGGAGAGAAGAGGCGCCACCTGCTGGTCATGTAATTTAGTTCAGTAGAAAGGTACACGCTGTCATTACACACAGACAAATATCCAGCTGCAAGCACATTTTCTGTATGGGTCGACATAAAGTATTTTATGCTTTGAATAGGACTGCCTCAATACACCTGTGCCGTGAAACAGCTCTACTAAATTCCATCTTTCTCACAGGGTATGCATGATAAAGAGGAAAAAACATTACATGCTTCTGTGAAACAGCCCAAATAAAGAACCAGCACGTCTTCTCCAATTTTTTGATTTTATTGTCATAGTAGTTTGCTTTAATAACATGTGAAGGCGCTCGAGCACACTGCCAGAACGCCATATGAGAAGAGAAACCAAAAGTGGGTAAAAGCAATGGGAGACATGTACAACTAGGGTTACAAAAATCCAGTCACTTTCACAAAATTCCCAGGTTTTCCAGAAATCCTGGCTGGAGGACTCTGGATTCCCTGCATATTCCCTCCTGATTCCGCATTTTGGGATAGTTAGTGGATATTTGCAACCCTAAGTACAACCAAGATAACATTTTGGTTTCAACTTGTTAAATTCTCAAACATCTTTGTTTTTTTGTAAATAATATATTTTTCTGTATTACAAGCAAATCCTGGTCCTCGTCTGGTTACAGATATAACTGCTGCCATTTTACATTTTCATTGATGGAAGAAAATTTAAAAAAACGTTTAAAAAATGCAAGAAAAGAAAAGGTTTTATGGTCATGAGTAGACCAGAGGGTTTGGGGGGAGGGGCCTAACCCAAAAATGGCATAGCTGAGCTCTCAATATGAGAAAGCTGACTTGTGTGTACTTGAATTCGTTTTTCATTTGCTTAAAAACAGGTTTCTTTTTCAGAGAAGTTTTTTTAAGCTGATCTTCGACAGGTCGAGGGGGAGAGAAGAGGGGCGCGAGCAGAGTGGCCGTCACCGCCTGCCGTGTTCCCATCGATGACCCCTGACCCCACTCTTCCCCCCCCACCCCACCATGGCGCCGGACTGTGATCGGTACTCCCATGCAACCGCTTCAGTCCCTCTCAGCAACGAGCTTCAACACCTTACCGATGGCAATGGTTTTACCTGGGGAGAGGACACAGAGACACAGGTTAACAGCAAGGCCCGTCTACTCATGTCCAATGGGCTAGTTTTAAATTAAAATCAAAACGTCATAAGTGGAGCCCCTCCACTCTCCGACATCCTCCTACAGACTTTCTCCCTCTTTAGGGTCCCAATGAATGACCCATCCCCTCTACCCAACAGTACTTTTTCACCACGAATGCAACTCAACCACTAACAGACTAACCTTGGTTTCAGTTTGGACTACATTTAAACCATTGTTCCTTCCAGCATGGCCATTTAGGGACTACTAACATTTTACATATACACTTTCGTCATTCAGCAGACGCTCTTATCCAGAGCGACTTACATAAGTAATTAGGGTAAAGTGCCTTGCTCAAGGGCACAGACAGATTTTTCAAGTAGTCAGCTTGGGGATTCAAACCAGCGACCTTCCGTTTACTGTCCCAACACTAGGCTACCTGCCGCGTACTAACAGTCCCAGTGATGGCAGAGCCCCGTACCTTCATCCCGTAGGGTGAACCGTCCCATCTGGGGGAAGTCTTTGAAGGTCTCAAGGCAGATGGTTCCGGCGGTGCGCAGACGGGCGATGCACACCTGGTCCTGTTTCACGAAGCGCGGTCGCGTCTTACTTTTCTCTCCAGACTTCTTGTCTACCAGACAGATTAAGGCCTAGAGGTTGAGAGGAACCATCACTAACTATACTGGCATGTCTTTAAAACACTATTTGTCAGGTGCAGTTCAAAGGGAATACATTGCAGATTCAAAATGAAGATGGTTCCTTCTGTAGGTTTATGTTATGGCATTATGACAGTATCTTTACCGTAATTTGCACTTCTTCGATGCAGGTGTGGATGTGGAGGACTGCATTGTAACCAGGGCAGATAATGGACTTGTGTTCAATGATGACAATCTGAGCGAAACACACGACACAATACTGAGTAAAAACAAACACCAACAAATCCAATATGTTTGCCATTAGGGCAACATTCAAACAGGACTAGGGTCCAACTCCAACCGTCTTAGTATCCGTGGTGACTGGCGTACCTGGGCGTCAAAGGTGCGTCCAGAGTGGCAGAGGTTCTCAGCGTTACAGAGGATGAAGCCCGGCAGGATCTCCTCCTCCTCAATGCCCTTCAGTCTCAGCTTCAAGTTCTCTCCAGGAGCAGCATCATCTGTCTCCACGTCATCACTCAGCAGGCTCAACACCTCCACCGTGTGCTGCAGGGAGGGATGGAGGGAGGGGTTAGAGGAGGAAGGGGGGCGGGATGGAAGAGATAAGAAGCCATTAACAAACGTTCATAAGAGATGGAGGGAACACCTTTACAGTATAAAAACAACAAAGAGGGAGATGCTGTGTGGCACAGAGTAAAATGAAAAATACGAGGGAAAAAAAAAGACCTACGACTAAACAACTCTGGCTTAAGATACTTGCCTGCCCATTGGCTATGATTAGCTATAGCTCTAATGCTCTGATGGGCGTTGGATGTTCCATGGCAGGCAGCTGGGGAACGTCTTACCCTGTTTGGCATCATGACAAGCTGCTGTGCTTTACTGATGGACCCCGACTCCAGTTTCCCCAGGATAACAGTACCCATGTCCTATAGGGTGGGGATCAACAGTAGAAAGAGGCGAGATTGAGTAACCCAGGTCAGAAAAGCTGTGCTACAGTGGTGTGAGAGGCATTAAAACTAGTGTGGTTTAATAGGCTTTTTATTACCAGGAAATAGGATGTTACATGTACAGTGTAAACAGTGTTGCTGCTGATGTGGGCAGTACGAATGACATGGCTCAGTACAGTTGTTGACCATCAAAATACTGTCATGTAAAGGACAACCATATATAAATAAACACTTAAATATAATGAGTTGGTTGCCATATTTATCGCAATAGAATAAAAATAGAAAGGTTTCATAATGTGGTCATCTTCACCTTGTATTTGTCTACGATGGGTAATCTGACTGGTCCGTCGCTCGCTCTGTTTAAGTTTGGCAAACTGTCCAGATGTGGAATGAATGGTAACCCTCTGGAAGACCGACAGGGAAGAGAAAACAGGTCAGGACAGTAGTGTCAGGAGAATATTCAATCCATTCACACCGGAAAGTTATAGTACCTTTGGTGTCGCTTCGTTAACAGAGAAGGAGCGTTTCTTAAATGGACAAGAACAGATAGTACCTTCCCTATTTTGGACTGTTTTCTTCAGTTTCGTACCTAGTGAACACAGCCCAGGAACTGCAGTGTAAAAGCTGGTGATACTCACGTATACCAAGTGCACGACTCAACAGGCTCCTTGAGGTTGGCTCCTGTGAGGCCGGAGCAGGGCATGAAGTGAATGTCTTTCTTGGGGTTGAAGCCAACCTTCTTTAAAAATGGCACTAGTTTCTCCTTGCATTCTTCGTACCTGAGGTTTCAGGTTAGACATGAAATAAATTGTGGGTTGAGCTGGATTTCAGATTCATGAGAATAAAATGTTCAACTCTCGATCAAATCTTGTAATGACGTCAATGTATGTATGATTTCTGTTAAGGTTCTACAAATACCCTACATCAACATAGGATTTCACCCTTGGCTATGACTATCATATCATCTTGACAGTAATGGGTGTCTTCATGTTTATCTACAAACTGAAGCAAGCACTCATGACTACCAGTTTCCTGTAGCCTGATGTGATTTCTGTGCTCTAAGTGGTAATTGCGCACCTCTCTAGGCTCCAGTTCACTGTGGGGTCGTCCATTTTGTTGACGAGGATGATCAGATGCTTCACCCCCGCCGTTTTGGCCAACATGGCGTGCTCCCGTGTCTGTCCACCCTTCTCAAAGCCCGTCTCAAACTCTCCCTTCCTGGCCGAGATCACCTAGGGAGGAGAAATACACATTGAAAATCATTCAAGGAACCATGACATTGCTGTGTGGATTTCAAAACCATGTGTTTTACGATCAAGTAAACAAATATTTATCATTGTTCATTCTTAAATGTAAAATCATTATTTTTATAATCTTTATATTTACCATTTAAAAAGAGATATTTGTCTCTCAATAACTGGATATTTTGGTATTTGCAGCAACAAGTTATTCAGGGGCCTTTTCCTCCTACCAAGAAAAACAAAAGCGTGACCTAATGGACTTACCAGTACAGCCAGGTCAGCTTGCGAAGCTCCTCCGATCATGTTGGGCACAAAGCTTTTGTGGCCTGGCGCATCCAGGATGGTAAAGTGCTTTTTCTCAGTTTCAAAGTACGCTCGGCCCACCTCCACAGTCTTCCCCTTGTCTCGCTCCTCCTGGTTAGTGTCCAGAGCCCAGGAGAGGTACCTGGCAGACAGAGGGAGAGAGAGAGTTAAACCTTTTTTATACTGACAGGCTTTAGTCATGCCATTTAATGTATTTTTTGCAGTAGACCCTGGTAAAAGCAGAGCGTGTAACTCACCAGGTTTCCCTGTTCTTCTCCTTGGCTTCTCTTTCATACTTCTCCAGAGTTCTCTTCTCCACCATACCCGTTAAATACCTACCAGTGAAGAAGGGGATAACCAGAGGGAGCGAGGAAGAGAGGGGGAAGGAGGGAAGAAGAGTGGAGGGGTGGTGAGAAATGCAACAGGTGTTAAAAGCCCCCATTGGACTGAACGAATCACGAGTGAAAAGGAAAAATATAAGCACAACAGAAAGATCCTCACATGATCTGTCCTCCGATGGTAGATTTGCCAGCATCTAGGGAGAGATGAGGGACAACAGGGAGGGGTGAGAGCAGATAGAAATGGCATGTTGCTCGTCTAGCCTTGTAACGGGGCTGATTAAATGAAAAGAAATACAAAACATTGCCAGTTTTTTTTCTATTCCTATTAATGCAAAAGCATAATTTCCCCTGGATATGTTTCTTTGTCAGAGACCACCATCAGCATCCAGGTGTGACAGTGGCACAACTATACACCATCGATGTTATATAGGGCTGCCAACAAACATTTTCTATTGAATCAAATGAAACCCCAAGAAATAGCAACAGAGCAATGCAGACATGACCCACACACCTAAATGATAGTAGGTGAAACCACTGCAATAGTCATGAAAAAGAGGGACAAGAAAGAAGCAGATGTGCCCCCACTCACCAACATGACCGATGAACACCACGTTCACATGTTCCTTCTTGGGCGCGTCTGGTGGGAGGGCAACCACTTTAGGCATGATTGGCACTTCTTCCTCCTCCTCCTCCTCCTCCTCCATGACTTCCTCCTCCAGAATCTCCTCGACAACTATTGGTCCCCCGTCGCCACCAGGCCCTCCTCCTGGTTCTTCCTCATTGGGCTCCGCCCCTTTCAGGTCCCACGACTCCTCTGTGGTCATTTCAGAGTCGCCATTCTCCACCGGGGCTGGTCAGGGACAAACCGAACAGAGCATTAGTGGCGTGGAATAAGTAATCATGATTTGAGTTTGAAACTTGATCCCTCTAGTCTCAGGTGTCTGATGTGAAAAAGCCTACCACCGTAGCTAAGAATTTGGTAAATTATAAAATGTTTCTCTACAAATGTTTTGGTAGATAAAAGAGATGTAATTAGATTGACATAAGATTTCATAATCAAAGGGGAAAACCTAACTAGGGCTACACTACAGGCTGCCAATGATGCAGAGTACTCATACAGTACAGTTAGAGCCAATTAATTAGGCCTGAGGGTATTGTTCTACGAGACAGCTTGTTAATGTTTACTACAGCAAAACCTTTGGCATCAGTTATGACAACAGGTTTTACTGTCCAAAACTACCAAATGCCAAATCTATAGAAAGTTAGAGCTTAAGGTCATCGAGTTCATTCCAATAACAGTGTTAACAAATGTCCCTTCTTTGATTTCCAGAAATAGCAGTTTGACACCTGAAATAAAGTGTAACCATTCAGCACCCTATAGGCTTTAAAGACCGTGGTAGTGATGACAGACCATGTTGACAGTTGTAGAGCATGGCTCATCATTCCAACTATGAGAGTGAAATCAGTAGCGTTTCTTAATCCTGGTCCTGGGGACCCAAATGGGTCCAAATTGTTTTGCCCTTGTCCTACAAACCTGATTCCACTTATCAAAGGTAAAATTAGTACATTAGTGGAATCAGGTGTGTGGTGCCAAGGGAAAAAAACAAATGTGTACCCCTTTGGGTCCCCAGGACCAGGAAACACAGGTGTAGTAGAATATGGGTTAGTGGGGACAGTGAGTGCTCCAAGGCTGCCTGGGCCCAGAAATATTTGGCTGACTTCAAGCCTTCTTCAATCCTGCACATTCACAACTTTTAGCCTAATGTAAATTATGTAAGACCTCAACCGTAAGGAAGGCTGAAGTCATTTTGCCAGTCACAGGAAAATTCAGACTAACTGAATGGAGTGGCTGTGGATCATTCTGGACCCCTCTTCCCAAAAGCGAAAGGTCCCGAAGCTTCTGCGCATATGCCGGATTCTCTACTTTACCCTGCACAGTCTCTGCTCTACTCATAGAGAACAAGCTACTTTGACGAATGGTGCTTGTTCAATAAAATTAGATCAAAGCTGAATAAATGTCTGCTAGATCACAATATTATTCTACATAACAGAATTAATAGCTAGTATAACATTACTGTAAGACAAAAAACACCACTTTATTTTTTTAAATGAGATTTTAGGATGATTGTGCAAATGGTCTTATTTCTCGCTCTCATCCAAAACTCAACATTGCACACCACTAGGCAAAATATGGGCTTTGATTGAAACTAAAAACACAGGTAGGCTATGCTACAGTTTAACACCATCTGCTCTAAAATTGGCTCACTAGCTAGATTACCATCCAATTGGCGACAGATTTTCATGGTAATATTCTAAAATCTGTATAAAAACAACATGCGCATTTTCCCACCACATATGTGTTTCCATCAAATGTACATGTTGCAGATAAAAGGCTGTGTGTGATGACGTAGTGCACATAAAAATACCTTTTGCGGTTAAATTCCCCATGTCCAAATACAAGTTAAATGGGTTTCAGTCACATTTTCAACAGATGTTTTCTCACACAAAAAATTGCGTTATATGTGTGTGTACCAACTCTGGAATTGGCACGTGCGGGCTGATGGCCAGAGTGTACGTATAGCCTACATGATATTTATTATTATGGACAAAAGAGCAAGATCATTTACATTTGTCAAACAGCAGCCAAGCAGCGATTATCATGTCACCAGAATAAGACCCTCAATATTTATTGGAAAGGAGCATCAAGCTCAACACCTGGCAGCGGAGTCACGGAGTGAGCGAGCACTGAGCAGCAGCTCGAAGGACTCGGAGGGGGAAGCACGCAGCGGATCCTGCACACGCGCAGAAATCTCTAGTCAAAAACTTCCGGGTTCGAGAAAATTAGGAACTTCAGCCACTTCGATTGGAATAAGGCAGCAAGTTTCCACACCAGACATCAAGTTTGGTCTTTGTCTGCACCAAAGCTATGGGCGCAGACAGAGCTAGCCAGCTCACCAATCTGTTTATTATGACACAGTACAGCACCCTCACAGGATTCACAACACACCTTAGTTTGTACTTATTATAGAGAGGGTGGGGTCTTGTCTAAATATAATGTAACAAGACATTAGCTAGTTAAATGGCGGTCACTTACGCATGAGACGAGAAGGGACACACAGCGGTCAAAAATAGCTGACATACACAACCCTTCCACGTCAACAATGAATGTGCACAAAAAATGTTCTAGAAGCTGTACTATAATATAATATGCCATTTATCAGACGCTTTTATCCAAAGCAACTTACAGTCATGTGCGCATACATTTTTACATATGGGTGGTCCCGGGGATCGAACCCACTACCCTGGCGTTACAAGCGCCATGCTCTACCAATTGAGCTACAGAGGACCACACTAGAAACATGTCAGAACATTGACTACAATTGAGAAAATGTAGGGCCACAATCATCAATTAGTGATTCTTACCAGTGACACAGTCGTTTTGGTTGACACTGAACAGTGGGTTGACAGGTCTTATGGAGGACTTTGTTAGAGGCCAGGCCCATAGATTGTGAGGCCAGCTAGGCTATTCAAGGACAATGCTGGACAACAGAGCAAAATGACCACAGGTGTAAAACACACACGTATACATACCTGCAGTTTTTGCGGCAGTTTTTGCGGCTTCCATGGTGGCAACAACTGGTTGAACGTCCGCTGAAAGAAGTAGAGCTTATTCACATTAAAGCTCCTTTCATCACATGTTTTTCATCAAATAAAATGTAAGGTGGGATTGGTGTGAAATCTACCGACCAGTGCTCTTCCAGTCTACCACAACGGTCACAACTAATACAGTTCTTATGAGGCCAATCAAGGTCATTACAAACTGCAACACCAGTTCCCCCAGTTATCTGGTTCTCAATATGTACTATAGACAGGTTGGTTGTTTAGCAACAACCAAAGCCTGCGCAACTATGGGGCAAAACATACGGGGTTGACTTAGATTGTTGACAACATGCAAACTATATTTCTCCAATGTTTATTGAAAACAAATTTGCACAATGAGCACTTGTGGTTTCAAATACATTGTTACGGTTGTTAGTTAGCTAATTTTAGCATTAACATTAAATCAATTAAAACACCTGAAAACAAGACATGGTATCAAGAACAAGATGCAACTAGCAAACACTAGTCACGATTCCCCACATGGCAATTTCTTGTCATTGTTGGTAGCTATCTGGCCATCCAGAATCACAACATCTGACTTCTGCCCCATTGAAGCATCAACCGTTTGTGACATTGTCAGCTAACCTATCTATACCCAACAACACTCCACTGGAAGAGCTTAACCCACCAACAGCTTGATGTTTACTATACTTTTACTGGACTGCCATTTTCCTCAAGAGCTGTTGAACACCTTTAGTATAAACACACATTGGTGATGTCCATCAACAGCAGAAAGCCTGCACAGATGTGTTCAGCAGGTTAACGGTAAGCTAAGGTTAAAGGATAAGAAAACTCTGCCTTAGGTCAAAAATATCAGACTGCGAAAATAGCTAGATTTGAATCCCCTCATGAATTACAAGTTAGTATTGCCTAATAGATCATCCATAACCACCACAACCTAAGGGCTTTTCTAGAGAGTATGGTCATTTAGGTTTCAAGGCACCTTACATATTCCCCTCCATATTGGATTTGGCAAAAGACAGAACTGACCAAAATATGCCACAGCTCATTTTCATTACATCAAAAGTAAAACAAATCAGTTGAGATGGCTTTTGATCTGGGCAAGACTGTAGATACATAACATATATATGTAAATAGCTAGCTAGACTTACATGTATGAATGGCTCTGACTATAGTTATTTCTGCTTTCTTGGTCTGCTCAAATGGGACACATTGTTCACAAGTTTGTCTTCCACTTATGGACTGTACATAGTTAAGATCATCCACGTCACACCAATAATGACAACACTAGTTACCAGTTCCTCAACAAGTTGTAATGTCTTGCGATTTATGCGGGGCAAGGTTGTACCCGTTCAAATAATGACTAGTTAACTATCTACAGTAGCTAGGTACATGGCTTGAAATTCCTAACTTACATTGTGGTAAGGGTATAGACAAAAAAAAGCAGAATTGCCCAAGAATGTCTTAGCTAGCCATTTCTGACTACAAAGCCCACGTAGATGGAAAGACAAAACCGTCCCCCAAAAAACAGACTATCGTTACGTACACGTACAATTGTCACACGACTGACATAGGATTGGCTAACTAACGTTCACTTAGTTATGCCAGTAACTAACAGTTGGTAAAATGATAACTAGGTAGAGACTAGCTAGCTAACGTTAACTAAAACCTCGAATGTCCAAAACCTCATATGGTTAACATTAGCTAACTAGCCATCTAATTAGTGCAGACACTGTCGTCGACAGTTGGCTAAAATCAAGCTAAATTAGCTAACCGGCAAATAGCTTCTAAGTAGTGCTTAGAAAGTTAACGCTGGCTAAAACCTACCGAAAATATTAGCTACAAACAAGCCATTAATAATCCAACCATTAACTACCGAATATAGCTTAGCTACAGTAGCTAACTAAAAAAAACTCGGTTACTAGTTAACTAGTCTAGATAAATAACGTTAATTTGGTAACTAATGCTTGCCTTTAACGTTAACTAGCTACTTTACGCGGTCTCTAAAGTGTATAAGCATGTGTGTTGCGGAGCTAGTTAGCTAACTAAGTTATCTTGCTAGCAAGCTAGCCAAACGCAAACGTGAGTGACCGCGAACTTACCACCGGAATCAGGATCTTCCGAGGGGCCTTTCTGAAAGAAGGACGGGACAAATTCGACAGCATTTATGTTGGGGACAAACGGTTTGGCATTCACGTTGAGGGCAGCGAATTCGGAATCGAGTTTCCCGTCGACCGGGGCCTCAACATCATCCTCTTGTTCCCAGGAATCAGGGGCAGCGTCTCTCGGGTCCATCGTGGGTCTTTGCTAAATGTTCACTACTGTGGATAAAGACTTGCGTTACGCAGTTGCTGAACTGGCTTGTGTCCGCACCTATTATTAACCCGTTGTTGAAGTCACCCGATAAAATTGATAAAACTCCCTCGCTAATGTCTAATATGTGCTTGATTTACTTAAAATAAAACAGCCGGTTTCTCTCGGTAAAGGGATACACGAAAGCAAGATTAGACTCAGCACTCCCAGCAAGTCCTCGTGTGCTGCTGACTCTCCCCAACCGATGGGAGCGACAACCAGCTGCATACTGGGAGATGTTGTGCAATGCAGGTGTCGCCATTATTCGGAAGAACGTAATGGTGGAAGCGAGAAAACTACATTTCCAACACAGGAAAAGCACACTTTTAACGTCAACGTTCCTGACCGATCCGCACGTTCAAATAATGTTTAGTTCCGATTCGGCAAACGGTTGAACGGGACCGTCAAAGGCCAAGGTCTGTGCTAGTATGAACACTGAAAATGATTAAACCTCGATTTTATTACCTCATATGAACATCTCGTACAAAAATCTAGGAAGTGCATCTGCAACTAACTTTATCATTGGATATTTTTGCATAGGCCTGTCTGTGTGAGTGCATTAGTTTTTCCACAGTGTAGACCTTCTCTATTGACAGACATACAGTGGGTACCGCAACAAGTTCAAAGATTTTACTAAGTTATAGTTTATAGAAGGAAATCAGTCAATTGAAATAAATAAATTAAGCCCTAATCGATGGATTTCACATGACTGGGCAGGGGCCCACTGGCCCAGCCAATCAGAATAGGGTTTTCCCTACAAAAGGGCTTTATTACAGACAGCTCTGTTGGACATTCCTGCAGTCAGCATGCCACTCGCAGGCTCCCTCAAAACTTGAGACATCTGTTGCATTGTGCTGTGTTACAAAATTGCACATTTTAGAGTGGCCTTTTGTCCCCAGCACAAGGTGTACCTGTGTAATGATCATGCTGTTTAATCAGCTTCCTGATATGCCATACCTGTCAGGTGGATGGATTATCTTGGCAAAGGAGAAATGCTCACTAACAGGGATGTAAAGAAATGTGTGCTTATTTTCTTTTTAGAGATTTTTTTTTTGTGCGTATGGAACATTTTAGGGATTTTTTTTTTCAGCTCATGAAACATGAGACTAACACTTTACATGTTGCGTTTATATTTTTGTTCAGTATAAAAGGACTGGTGCAAAGTACTCATTTTGCCACTAGGGAGAGACAATGTCTAGCAGAATGTCCAGCAGCACAAAAAGGTCCATCCCAGGCAGGGCGAAATAACCCTGAGAAAAAGGTTTGAGAATTGTATTTGGGTTATTTTATTCATTCCCCATTCTGATTGCATTGGTAATTTCTGACAGGGAGAAACGCATCATCAAGCTGACATTGATACTAAATCAGGATTTCAATGAGGTTGACTGGAATTACTGATTAATTGGTAACTAACAATATGATTAACACCTTTTACCTGTAAATTCAGTCCCTGCAAATGATATATAAAACAGTTGTGTAATCAGTTTTAATAAAGGTGATTGGATTCTTCAATACATCCCTCTTTCCATCCCATTAAATTACATTTCAAACAGTGTTTTTTCAAAAATCTTTAAACAGGCATTGAACTTCAGTGAGACTAGTGCAGTACTTCAACCACCTACAGTGCATTCGGAAAGTATTCAGACCCCTTCCCTTTTTCTACATTTTGTTACAGCCTTATTCTAAAATGGCTTAAATAATTTCCCCCCTCATCAATCTACACACAATACCCCATAATGACAAAGCGAAAACAAGTTTAGAAATATTTGCATATATATATATACATATACACACACACACACATACATACATACATACACACACACCTTATTTACATAATTATTCAGACCCTTTGCTATTAGACTCGAAATTGAGCTCAGGTGCATCCTGTTGTTTCCATTGATCATCGTTGAGGTGTTTCTACAACTTGATTGGAGTCCACCTGTGGTAAATTCAATTGATTGGACATGATTAGGAAAGGTACACACCTGTCTATAAGGTCCCACAGTTGACAGTGTATATCAGAGCAAAAACCAAGTCATGAGGTCGAAGGAATTGTCCGTAGAGCTCCGAGACAGGATTGTGTCGAGGCATAGATCTGGGGAAAACATTTCTGCAGCATTGAAGTTCCCCACAGTGGCCTCAATCATTCTTAAATGGAAGAAGTTTGGAACCAACAAGACTCTTCCTAGAGCTGGCCGTCCAGCCAAAATGAGCAATCGGGGGAGAAGGGCCTTGGTCAGGGAGGTGACCAAGAACCTGATGGTCACTCAGAGTTCCAGAGTTCCTCTGTGGAGATGGCAGAACCTTCCAGAAGGACAACCATCTCTGCAGTACTCCACCAATCAGGCCTTTATGTTAGACTGACCAGACGGAAGCCACTCCTCAGTAAAAGGCACATGACAACCCGCTTGGAGTTCGCCAAAAGGCATCTAAAGGACTCTCAGACCATGAAAAACAAGATTCTCTGGTCTGATGAAACCAAGATTTAACTCTTTGGCCTGAATGCCAAGCGTCACGTCTGGAGGACACTTGACAACATCCCTACGGTGAAGCATGATGGTAGCATCATGCTGTGGGGGATGTTTTTCAGCGGCAGGGACTTTGAGACTAGTCAGGATCAAGGGAAAGATGAACGGAGTAAAGTACAGAGAGAGATCCTTGATGAAAACATGCTCCAGAGCTCTCAGGACCTCCGACTGGGGCGAAGGGTCACCTTCCAACAGGACAACGACCCTAAGCACATAGAAAGACAATGCAGGAGTGGCTTCTGGACAAGTCTCTGAATGTCCTTGAGTGGCCCAGCCAGAGCCCAGACTTGAACATCTCTGAAGAGACCTGAAAATAGTTGTGCAGCGATGCTCCCCATCCAACCTGACAGAGCTTAAGAGGATCTGCAGAGAAAAATGGGAGAAACTCCCCAAATACAGGTGTGCCAAGCTTGTAGCGTCATACCCAAGAAGACTCGAGGCTGTAATCACTGCCAAAGGTGCTTCAACAAAGTACTGAAAGGGTCTGAATACTTATGTACTTTTTATTTTTATAACAAATTTGCTAAAATTTATAAAAACCTGTTTTTGCTTTGTCATAATGGGTTATTGTGTGTAGATTGAGGAAAAAAAACATTCAGCATAAGGCTGTAAGGTAACAAAATGTGGAAAAAGTCAAGGGGTCTGAATACTTTCCAAATACACTGTAGGTCCTTAAAACATTGTTAAAGCATTAATCTATTAAATATTTTCACTTCAGAAAACTAAATTAATGGTGTATCAAAAATAACGCTCCCAGTTCAACAACATTAAATATCAGTTATTTTCTCCTTTGCTATGAGTGGATTATTGCACCAGAATTGCTGATTAGGAGCATAATAAAAAGTAACATGTACGTAACCTGTTTTAAAGAATATGATAACAGAAAGTCCTCGAAGGTGATAGACCTAAAGCCTTACGACATAAAAAAGATCTACAACAGATGGAAATTATATCAGAGTACAGTGAACCAACATCTTTATAGTATCAAATTCAGAAGAGAATTACAGTTGTATTTTCAAGTTAAGTGCACATCCTAAATTAAGAAAAACTAAATTAAAACGTAAAAGTATAAGCTCATTCTGTCTGCTTTGGATATAAAAAAAAAAATCAAAAACGGCAAAGTGTTGTACAGTGGATGCAAAAGCAGTCTTATAAGCTAATTATTGATTTCATTTGAAAGTCATGATGCCAGTAGTCTCCGGACACCCTAGGACATTAAAGTTCTCCCAAATGTGTATTACTACATAGCAGAAACATGATTGGTCAACGAGAATGTAACACCTATCATTTCAATAATTACAACTGTGTACAAAACATGTCTTAAACCACCTTAGAGCTGTAGGTCGATAATAGTGGGGAAAAAAGTATTTAGTCAGCCACCAATTGTGCAAGTTCTCCCACTTAAAAAGATGAGAGAGGCCTGTAATTTTCATCATAGGTACACGTCAACTATGACAGACAAATTGAGAAAAAAAGATCCAGAAAATCACATTGTAGGATTTTTAATTAATTTATTTGCAAATTATGGTGGAAAATAAGTATTTGGTCACCTACAAACAAGCAAGATTTTTGTCTCTCACAGACCTGTAACTTCTTCTTTAAGAGGCTCCTCTGTCCTCCACTCTGTTACCTGTATTAATGGCACCTGTTTGAACTTTATCAGTATAAAAGACACCTGTCCACAACCTCAAACAGTCACACTCCAAACTCCACTATGGCCAAGACCAAAGAGCTGTCAAAGGACACCAGAAACAGAAATTGTAGACCTGCACCAGGCTGGGAAGACTGAATCTGCAATAGATAAGCAGCTTGGTTTGAAGAAATCAACTGTGGGAGCAACTATTAGGAAATGAAAGACATACAAGACCACTGATAATCTCCCTCGATCTGGGGCTCCACGCAAGATCTCACCCCGTGGGGTCAAAATGATCACAAGAACGGTGAGCAAAAATCCCAGAACCACACGGGGGACCTAGTAAATGACCTGCAGAGAGCTGGGACCAAAGTAACAAAGCCTACCATCAGTAACACACTACGCCGCCAGGGACTCAAATCCTGCAGTGCCAGACGTGTCCCCCTGCTTAAGCCAGTACATGTCCAGGCCCGTCTGAAGTTTGCTAGAGTGCATTTGGATGATCCAGAAGAGGATTGGGAGAATGTCATATGGTCAGATGAAACCAAAATAGAACTTTTTGGTAAAAACTCAACTCGTCGTGTTTGGAGGACAAAGAATGCTGAGTTGCATCCAAAGAACACCATACCTACTGTGAAGCATGGGGTGGAAACATCATGCTTTGGGGCTGTTTTTCTGCAAAGGGACCAGGACGACTGATCCGTGTAAAGGAAAGAATGAATGGGGCCATGTATCGTGAGATTTTGAGTGAAAACCTCCTTCCATCAGCAAGGGCATTGAAGATGAAACGTGGCTGGGTCTTTCAGCATGACAATGATCCCAAACACACCGCCCGGGCAACGAAGGAGTGGCTTCGCAATAAGCATTTCAAGGTCCTGGAGTGGCCTAGCCAGTCTCCAGATCTCAACCCCATAGAAAATCTTTGGAGGGAGTTGAAAGTCCGTGTTGCCCAGCGACAGCCCCAAAACATCACTGCTCTAGAGGAGATCTGCATGGAGGAATGGGCCAAAATACCAGCAACAGTGTGTGAAAACCTTGAAGACTTACAGAAAACGTTTGACCTGTGTCATTGCCAACAAAGGGTATATAACAAAGTATTGAGAAACTTTTGTTATTGACCAAATACTTATTTTCCACCATAATTTGCAAATAAATTCCTAAAAAATCATACAAATGTGATTTTCTGGATTTTTTTTTCTAATTTTGTCTGTCATAGTTGACGTGTACCTATGATGAAAATTACAGGCCTCTCATCTTTTTAAGTGGGAGAACTTGCACAATTGGTGGCTGACTAAATACTTTTTTCCCCCACTGTATAGTTGAAGTCGGAAGTTTACATACACTTCGGTTGGAGTCATTATAACTCGTTTTTCAACCACCACAAATTTCTTGTTAACAAACTATAGTTTTGGCAAGTCGGTTAGGACATCTACTTTGTGCATGACACAAGTAATTTTTCCAACAATTGTTTACAGACAGATTATTTCACTTATAATTCACTGTATCACAATTCCAGTGGGTCAGAAGTTTACATACACTAAGTTGACTGTGCCTTTAAACAGCTTGGAAAATTCCAGAAAATTATGTCATGGCTTGAAAAGCTTCTGATAGGCTAATTGACATAATTTAAGTCAATTGGAGGTGTACCTGTGGATGTATTTCAAGGCCTACCTTCAAACTCTGCGCCTCTTTGCTTGACATGATGGGAAAATCAATAGAAATCAGCCAAGACCTCAGAAAAAAATGGTAGACCTCCACAAGTCTGGTTCATCCTTGGGAGGAATTTCCAAACGCCTGAAGGTACCACGTTCATCTGTACAAACAATAGTACGCAAGTATAAACACCATGGGACCACGCAACAGTCATACCGCTCAGGATGGAGACGCGTTCTGTCTCCTAGAGATGAACGTACTTTGGTGCAAAAAGTGCAAATCAATCCCAGAACAACAGCAAAGGACCTTGTGAAGATTCTGGAATGAGTCCTATATCGACATAACCTGAAAGGCCGCTCAGCAAGGAAGAAGCCACTGCTCCAAAACCGCCATAAAAAAGCCAGACTACGGTTTGCAACTGCACATGGGGACAAAGATCGTACTTTTTGGAGAAATGTCCTCTGGTCTGATGAAACAAAAATAGAACTGTTTGGCCATAATGACCATCGTTATGTTTGGAGGAAAAAGGTGGTTGCTTGCAAGCCGAAGAACACCATCCCAACCGTGAAGCACAGGGGTGGCAGCATCATGCTGCGGGGGTGCTTTGCTGCAGGAGGGACTGGTGCACTTCACAAAATAGATGGCATCATGTGGAAGGAAAATTATGTGGATATATTGAAGCAACATCTCAAGACATCAGTCAGGAATTTAAAGCTTGGTCGCAAATGGGTCTTCCAAATGGACAATGACCCCAAGCATACTTCCAAAGTTGTGGCAAAATGGCTTAAGGACAACAAAGTCAAGGTATTGGAGTGGCCATCACAAAGCCCTGACCTCAATCCTATAGAACATTTGTGGGCAGAACTGAAAAAGCGTGTGCGAGCAAGGAGGCCTACAAACCTGACTCAGTTACACCAGCTCTGTCAGGAGGAATGGGCCAAAATTCACCCAACTTATTGTGGGAAGCTTGTGGAAGGCTACCCGAAACGTTTGACCCAAGTTAAACAATTTAAAGGCAATGCTACCAAATACTAATTGAATGTATGTAAACTTCTGACCAACTGGGAATGTGATGAAAGAAATAAAAGCTGAAATAAATCATTATCTCTACTATTATTCTGACATTTCACATTCTTAAAATAAAGTGTGGATCCTAACTGACCTAAGACAGGGAATTTTTACAGGGAATTGTGAAAAACATAGTTTAAATGTATTTGGCTATGGTGTATGTAAACTTCCGACTTCAACTGTAACATCTCCCTTCTGAAGACAATGGTATGGAAGGAACATACATTTTCTCTAAGCTCTTTGTCAAGGATCGTTGTATGTGAAATCAAATAGGGATTGTAATGGAAGCAGGACGGAAATATCGTTGTGTCATTTCAAGTCAGGAATCATAATTCTTCATCAAAGTAGTTATTGCGACAAATTATAGATTTTGTTCTTATTTTGAGAATAAAAATACAAAATAAATGAATTTTGGTTTTGATTAAATTAAGACATACTATGTGCAACATTAAATAAGGTAGTGACAAATGGAATACAACTTCTTTTTTTTCTTTAACAACCCTGCATTGAAACCAAATCCTTTAACCTGCAAATATGCTATCTTCAGTCTAGGTATTATAATAACTACTAGGCTACTGCATGTCTGTCTCACAGGAAACATCAACATACAGTATAGCCACTATACGTATTTCCTCAGAATGCATGTTAAGCAAGACTTTGCTTATGGACGTAAGGAAACGTTAGCCCCATTGGTCATATTATTAAAAACATACATTTATATTGTAAAAAAAACAACAACATTGTACACCAATCAGACCCAAGTATGTGCAAATGTTAACAGGAGGGTGTTTGACAAACCGTGGAGGGTCTATCGGGGTAGTGCACATATACTGTGGGAGTGTTTAAAGATCAGAAGCAGGTGGATGCGTGTATTCTTTCTTGTTCAAGTCATATCACAGTATGCTTAAATTGTTCTACTACATTTCCCTCTATACAGAGCTGGTTTTACTGATCATTATGGTGATTGAGTGGATAGAAATATAAGGTATGTATACAATCTAAAATTGTTTCATTTCCAGTGTTAGTCACACGTTACTTGGCTTGCATATAAGCTGCTTTACCTCCGGGCCATGACGAGACTGACTGAAGTAGAGTGGAGGCCATGAACCAGGAAGTCCTCAGACAACCCTTCACCTTTGACTCCCAGCCCCAGGTGTAGTTCCTGCTTGACCAGAGTTCTTAGGTCCTATAGGGTGTCTGAATTCTACTCCTACATAATTATTTATTAACCCATTGAGAGATCGAGTCCTCAGACAGTCAGACACAATCTCTGGACTGCTGTGGAAACAACCCTAGAGACTAAGGCTGGATTCCATTCTGAAATCCTGGTTCCTTCCCTCAGCCCTTGACCTCTCCCTCTCACAGTCATCATGGGACTGGAAAGAAAGAATAAAGAAGAGATAAAATGACAATAGCACTCCCTACCCTTCTGGTAGTCTAAGTGAACCCTTTGCTATCTAATTATCTTTCATCCCAGTCTCCAGTCCCTTCAGATCTACAAGGAGACAGTTGTCAAGAAAAGAGGCAAGGGAGAATTATTTGAGAATAGAATGAATCCCTGCTCTACAACACCTGCTGGACTGGCCTGGAACCTGCCCTGGGGGCTGTCCTATCTGCCTGTCTCCTCCACTGGTGCCTCCCCAGTTGCCTCCTGGCCCTCAGGCTGTCTCTCCTCCTCTTCCATACTCTGTTCCCCTTCCGGTGTACCCACCTCGCTCTCCTCCTGCGTGGGCTCGGGTTCAACTGGCACCTGGGAGGTCTCTGGGCTCTCAGGGGCCCCGGAAACCACCTCGTCTGGGACAGGGGAAGGTGGGGTGGGTGTGGAGGGTTGTGGGACCCCCTCCCTGGAGAGATCCTCAGCATGGCCCACGGAGCTGGTCTCACTGTGGGAGTCAGAGCCCCCCGCACCCTCGCGCCGGAACAGCCTCTGTCCTGCAAGTGGAGGAGGAAAAGGAGGAATCAGAGAGAATAGTAGTCTGTAAGATTTCCAGTATTTTCAATAAATAAAATATGCCCCTTGATTTTAAAGAGTGACTGCGAAAGAACAGGAATATCCCATTCTATAGATTCTGTGAGGCCATACCTGGCAGTCTCTTGGCAGAGGAGGTGGGGGTTTCTGGCGATGCCAGCCCACCTGTCTGGGCCTTCATGGAGTAGGTGGGCTCTGTGGAGTCCAGGGAACCTATGGGAAACACACAGTCACTTATTATACCATCGGAATGCAGACATACAGGAGCAACCTAGGAGCAGGCACAGACGCACACAGTTGTGTACCTGCAGCCAGGTTAAAGGTCCTGCCCTTCACAGTGCTCTGGAATGGAGAGAACCAGTTCAACACGGAGCCGACCAGAGGAATCTGTCTCAACACACCCTGAGAGAGAGAGAGAGATGATGGTGCAAAACAAATACAAATCAGTCCATAAAATGTGCATGTATACAAAAACGTGCACATGCACACACCTCCTCCATGAGTTTCTCCTGGTTGTCTTTCTGGAGCTGTAGCTCTGCCTCCTGGATGCCTTTCCTCACCACCTCCGTCATGTTCTCTAATAGCTAGTGACAAGATGGGACAGAAGAAAAGAATAATTTACAACTGAATCAATGCAATGGGATTGTAGTTTTACATAGATTTTTGATTGCATTTTATAATCAAAAATCAATATAATCCGGAAGTACCAGCCATGTTAGAGGCATTGACAGACTGTAGGTAAACAGAGTAGAAGGAGATTGCGTTACCCTGCCGTTCTCCTCTATGTCCCTCCCCAGGGCGGCTATCGTATCCACTAGCTCTGGCACGTCTAGGTCCTCCATTGCCATGCCAATAAATATGCAGTCCTTCTCGGGTCCGAACTCCGGGCCTGAGGGAGGGAGAGAGGTTAAGAGGTAAAGCAGGCTGAATCAGAACCAGGTCTGAGTCATTCCTTGATTTGAGGGGAAGATTGAAACCTTGAGGTCCAGATGTGATAAAAGGAGCTCTGTGCTGTGGACAGGCACAGTACTGACCGGTGGAGAAGATGAGGTCTGCGTCCAGATCCCCTAGTTTCACCAGCAGCTCACCGTTGATCTTCTCCACCTCCAGCTGTCTCTTACGGTCGTTCATCTCCTCAATCCTCGGCTCATACCTGAGTGGACACACACACATACTTTCATTTTGTGGACAAGTCACATTGCTTTACATAAAACATTTTGGTTGCAGTTGCACATTATTTGACTGTACAGAAATGACCAGGTATTTACTATGAAATGGCATGGTAAAATGGTAATTACATAGCTATTAATAATACTAATACTGAATAAATAACAGTGTATTCCTACCTGACGGCTCCCAGGCCGGGCCAGCTGAGGTCCTCTATGTAACTGAGGGCAGAGTGGCGGTACACCTCCTCTCTGAAGTCCAGTCTGAGACGCAGCGTACAGTTCAGCACAGGAACCAGCTCAGTCAACCGCTCCACCAGGAGATCCACGTCACACCGCTGGGTCCCCAGGGCTGGGAGGGAACAGGTCAGAGGGCAGAGGTCAGGGATCAGAGGTCAACAGTTACAGGGTCAACATAAGGAGAGTTGTGCCTGACTAACATCCACTGTGGTGGGTGGATTGACTGACGATGATCAGGTGTTCTTCATTAACTGTACAGGTGAATGTGTGTAATAGAAATTATGGTATGTCTAACAGGTGAATGTGTGTCTTTCTTTATGATGCGTGTGTCTTACAGGTGAGTCTGTGTGTGTGTGTGTTACCTGCGGCGGTCATAAGAGGGGTGAAGCGGACACAGGTGCCCTCGTCCTCCAACTCCACTATGTCTACCCCGCTGGCAGGCACAAGCTGTGCCAACCGCTCACACAGCTACAGGCAGACAAAATCAATCAACCAATCAATCAATCTTTATTGTCTCACCCATTAAAATGTATACAAATGCTCACCCATCTGTTGAGGGTATCTAGCACTTCTCTCTCTCCAGCAAAGTAGCCCTCCACAGAACCACCACTGGATTCTGAGTCGCGGGGGAGAGCATAGCATTACGACCTATTACATATAACTTGCCAAATTCAAATACATAGTACATTTACATGATACTCATTTGAATGCATTAAATACATCATTTGAATGCACAAATTGCAACTAAAGTAAGTAGGATATAGCTGAATAAGAGTTTCTGCTTAGTTGTGAGATAAATGTGTAGGAACAGGAAGAGTAGTGTTTACCACTCACCTGCACTGGTCTCCTGGGAGAACCTGAACACTACTACTGGAGAGTTCAGTTCATCCTCCACCTGCAGCACAGGAAAGGTGAGACAGACACACAGGTGAGGTTCCACACATCCAGGGTCATAACCTTTGACCTTTAAAACTGTCATTAACATGCAAACAGGTGTACTATGTGAGAATGGTCCTGAGAAGCTGTGTGATGTGATGCTATGGAGATGCCTGGGTTTGTGACACACATCCTCTGTTTGAGCAGTCAAACTGGTCTGCATGGGGATTGTTAAATAGTTAAATGTTTGTGCGTAAATGTCAATGCCTATGACTTCCATTCACAATGGACATTCCTCTGTTTTCCATGGACGTTATGTATATGACTAACTCTTAACCATACAACCTACGACAAATCCACAACTCACCATTATATTGTATGTACTGTGTATACTTTGTACATAAACCATTGGGTCGGGCAAATTTTTGTTTTGGAGAAAATCTCAGCACAGGAAAGACACTACTCTTTCCTTCTGGTAATTTCTCTCCATCTCTAACAATTCACAGTAAGGGTATGTACTACCCAGTTACCCATAGCAGGATTGATTGGTTGAAGTGACATGTTGGATTGTAACTTTTGTACCCTAACAGGGTAGTTATGTAAACACAGTGAGGTCCATCTTTGATGACGCCTGGGTCAAAGTTCAACTTTAGAGTCATCAGGATTCTGTGAAGAAGTGGTGGTGGGGGGACAGGACATTCCCTGATGTGCTTAAAACATGCCTGTAGTGGTGATTGGACAGGAACCAGGAAGTGGACTGATGGCCGTTTTAGCCAATGGGTGCCCTCAATTTGAGCGGTGTCTCAAATACAGTGCCTCTCAGGGCATTCAGGTGGACAAACATGGTCAGGTAGAGAGTGAAACAGAGGAAAAAGGAGAGAAGGAGGAGAGGAAGGGGGGAGCAGGCAGGGGGAAGAGGGTTGGTCCCACCTACAATAGACAGAATGAGAGAGCCCAGCAAGTCCCGTAGAGAGCCCCCCGAGATCGGCGGGATCCGAGAGAGAGACGCCACACCCTGTAACCAAGGCAACCCAACAGCTCACTATCTACAGTATACACACACTTACTACACACAAACAGCACACGACACTCACTACGACAAAAGGTACTCAAAGCCACCATCAACCCAACACGGTAACCAGACCCACACACTCTGCTTGTTCACCGGATCAGCTTCAGCAGTTACTGCACTGCACCGTTCCAATGATCTCTATATCATCTACATGTGTCAATCTTATTCACACTTTATCTAAAGATCACTACAGTGGGGAGAACAAGTATTTGATACCCTGCCGATTTTGCAGGTTTTCCTACTTACAAAGCATGTAGAGGTCTGTAATTTTAATCATAGGTACACTTCAACCGTGAGAGACGGAATCTAAAACAAAAATCCAGAAAATCATTGATTTTTAAGTAATTAATTTGCATTTTATTGCATGACATAAGTACTTGATACATCAGAAAAGCAGAACTTAATATTTTGGTACAGAAACCTGTGTTTGCAATTACAAAGATCATACGTTTCCTGTAGGTCTTGACCAGGTTTGCACACACTGCAGCAGGGATTTTGGCCCACTCCTCCATACAGACCTTCTCCAGATCTTTCAGGTTTCGGGGCTGTCGCTGGGCAATACGGACTTTCAGCTCCCTCCAAAAATGTTCTATTAGGTTCAGGTCTGGAGACTGGCTAGGCCACTCCAGGACCTTGAGATGCTTCTTACGGAGCCACTCCTTAGTTGCCCTGGCTGTGTGTTTCGGGTCGTTGTCATGCTGGAAGACCCAGCCACGACCCATGTTCAATGCTCTTACTGAGGGAAGGAGGTTGTTGGCCAAGATCTCGCGATACATGGCCCCATCCATCCTCCCCTCAATACGGTGCAGTCGTCCTGTCCCCTTTGCAGAATAGCATCCCCAAAGAATGATGTTTCCACCTCCATGCTTCACGATTGGGATGGTGTTCTTGGGGTTGTACTCATCCTTCTTCTTCCTCCAAACACGGCGAGTGGAGTTTAGACCAAAAAGCACTATTTTTGTCTCATCAGACCACATGACCTTCTCCCATTCCTCCTCTGGATCATCCAGATGGTCATTGGCAAACTTCAGACGGGCCTGGACATGCGCTGGCTTGACCAGGGGGACCTTGCGTGCGCTACAGGATTTTAATCCATGACGGTGTAGTGTGTTACTAATGGTTTTCTTTGAGACTGTGGTCCCAGCTCTCTTCAGGTCATTGACCAGGTCCTGCCGTGTAGTTCTGGGCTGATCCCTCACCTTCCTCATGATCATTGATGCCCCACGAGGTGAGATCATGCATGGAGCACCAGACCGAGGGTGATTGACCGTCATCTTGAACTTCTTCCATTTTCTAATAATTGCGCCAACAGTTGTTGCCTTCTCACCAAGCTGCTTGCCTATTGTCCTGTAGCCCATCCCAGCCTTGTGCAGGTCTACAATTTTATCCCTGATGTCCTTACACAGCTCTCTGGTCTTGGCCACGGAGAGGTTGGAGTCTGTTTGATTGAGTGTGTGGACAGGTGTCTTTTATACAGGTAACGAGTTCAAACAGGTGCAGTTAATACAGGTAATGAGTGGAGAACAGGAGGGCTTCTTAAAGAAAAACTAACAGGTCTGTGAGAGCCGGAATTCTTACTGGTTGGTAGGTGATCAAATACTTATGTCATGCATTAAAATGCAAATTAATTACTTAAAAATCATACAATGTGATTTTCTGGATTTTTGTTTTAGATTCCGTCTCTCACAGTTGAAGTGTACCTATGATAAAAATTACAGACCTCTACATGCTTTGCAAGTAGGAAAACCTGCAAAATCGGCAGTGTATCAAATACTTGTTCTCCCCACTGTATCTGCTCAGAGCTGATGCCTGTGAACAAGGTCTTAGTTTTGTGACAGTATGATGGCGGTCTCTGTTAGTGAGGCTCAGTGCTGTTTCTTTACCATAGTTAAAGCATCGAAGAGAGAGATCTCAGAGTCAAGCTCATCCTGATGATGATGACATAAAACACAGACATCAGAAGCCCTCTTCATAGCTGTGTGTTATGTGTTTGAGATGAGTGTGATCTTATCATTGTTTTCTTAAGTTATCCCATCTTAAAACTCAACAAGCAAAAGCTCACATGGGGGGTCTTTGTCCTATGACCCACCTATGTGTAATGGCTTTATAGTGCCTTCGTTTACACCCATAGTGCATTATTAAATAATGGAATTAACAGCTTATGGCTGCTTAGAACAGCCTCAATGCATAAATGCTTTACAATGCATTACATATACATTAATAGTAGTAGATAGTTAATAGTTGAACAACAAGTTGTGGACCTACTGATGTCTTTATGGAAGCCAGAGTCTTCAGTTTCTCAAGAAGCTGTTGGCTCTACAGACAAAAAGAGATACGACACGGGTCAGTTTGTTAGCAGTAAGGTGATAGAAATTAACACAGATCGCTAACCCATATGCTTATTACTAACCCAAAGTACTTACGAGCTCTGCAGCGTGTCTGATCTTCTCCACTATCCCATCATGGCCAAGGTACTGCAGGGAGAGCCAGAGAGGCAGGGCACGCAGCTTCTCTACTGGCTGACTGGAAGTCAACCCGGCTGCCAGAGACTGAGACAGAAGAGAGAACTCAAATGGATAGGTGAAACCAAGGATTCCACCACAAACTGTAGCTTTCACCAATCCAGTCATATCAGATCCGTAATAACTCCAAGGGAGGCAGGAAGGAAGGATGCATGTTTAAAGTACTAAACAGAGACCAGATAGGCCCTACAGCTAGAGTTGAAAGAGGATACCAAAGAAGAGAGCCCAGGAAGGAGAAAGAGGATACCAAAGAAGAGAGCCCAGGAAGGAGAAAGCGTACCAGGGCTGGGTCCTCATGTCTGTAGAGGGTGACAGCAGGAACAGCAGGCAGGCCCAGCCACGGACCCAGGGTCAGGGTCATACTGTCACTCCTGGTGGCCGCCTGGGGACGGAGGAGGGGGCAAAGACACATACTGTAGTAGACATATTACATTACTATACAATACAGGCATCTTACAGTGCATTCATTTCAAGTTCGGAGGGTCACAGAATGGGAGAGCATATCCTATACGTACCGTCACGGGGGACGAGACCTGCCCCAGAGCCAGGGTGGCCAAGTTGACACTGAGAGAGACAGAAAAGACAAAGTAGTTATAAAGCATTTACAAACCCCTCCAATATGGTTGGTTAAAGACATATCAGAAGTATTACAAGTATGTGTAATGTTGTTACCCACCCTTCTATGTGGAGCCACATGCCATACTGTTCACACAGCTCCTTTAGACGGCCCAGCTTGTCTGTGTGGCCCGCCCCAGGGGTGCCTGGGATGACAAGGCAGTGAGTACGCTCTAAGCCACTCTGCAGTACGTCTTGGTAAATACGTCAGTGATAGAGGGACTGACATGTTCATTTAACCTTTATTTGACCAGGTAAGTCATACAATAACATCCTGGTTGGTCAAGGGTTAAACATTGTTTCATTTTAGAGTGTAATACCATGTTTCACCATGCAAAGTTTTGCAATAAGCACACAATCCATCTTGGAGAAAATAAAACACCTTTAAAGAGTAGATGTGTGCCCTTAGCTACTAATTTGGATTATAATTGTATTAATGGTGATAGAATTCCCCACTGACCGGCGTTGGCTACCAACAGCAATGGAAGCTTCCCAGTCTCCACGTCCTCTTTGATCAGCTTGTCGAGCAAGGCAACGTCCTGCAACAGGAAAACACCAAGGGAGACAGATCATATTATGTTTTCCATTAAAAATCAGGGTAGTATGATGGGTAGTACGCATACAGGCACCCCAGTATGACCTAAATCAAATCAAATGTTATTTGCCACATACGCCGAACACAACAGGTCTAGACATTACAGTGAAATGCTTACTTACAAGCCCTTAACCAACAATGCATTTTTTAAAGAATAAAAAAAAAAGAAGTGTTAAGTAAAAAAAAAAAAAAGCAAATAACTAAAGAGCAGCAGTAAAATAAAAGAACAGAAGGGAGGCTATATACGGGGGTACCGGTGCAGAGTCAATGTGCGGGGGCACCGGCTAGTCGAGGTAATTGAGGTAATATGTACATGTGGGTAGAGTTAAAGTGACTATGCATAAATAATAAACAGAGTAGCAGCTTCGTAAAAGAGGGGGGTGGGGGGGCAGTGCAAATAGTCCGGGTAGCAATGATTAGCTGTTCAGGAGGCTTATGGCTTGGGGGTAGATGCTGTTGAGAAGCCTTTTGAACCTAGACTTGGCGCTCTGGTACCGCTTGCCGTGCGGTAGCAGAGAGAACAGTCTATGACTAGGGTGGCTGGAGTCTTTGACAATTTTGAGGGCCTTCCTCTGACACCGCCTGGTATAGAGGTCCTGGATGGCAGGAAGCTTGGCCCCAGTGATGTACTGGGCCGTACACACTACCCTCTGTAGTGCCTTGTGGTCAGAGGCCGAGCAGTTGCCATACCAGGCGGTGATGCAACCAGTCAGGATGCTCTCGATGGTGCTGCTGTAGAACATTGAGGATCTGAGGACCCATGCCAAATCTTTTCAGTCGCCTGAGGGGAAATAGGCTTTGTCGTGCCCTCTTCACGATTGTCTTGGTGTGTTTGGACCATGATAGTTCGTTGGTGATGTGCATACCAAGGAACTTGAAGCTCTCAACCTGTTCCACTACAGCCCCGTCAATGAGAATGGGGGCGTGCTCAGTCCTCTTTTTTTACCCTGTAGTCCACAATCATCTCCTTTGTCTTGATCACGTTGAGGGAGAGGTTGTTATCCTGGCACCACACGGCCAGGTCTCGGACCTCCTCCCTATAGGCCGTCTCTTCGTTGTTGGTGATCAGGCCTACCACTGTTCTGTCGTCAGCAAACTTAATGATGGCATTGGAGTCGTGCCTGGCCATGCAGTCATGGGTGAACAGGGAGTACAGGGTGGGACTGAGCACGCACCCCTGAGGGGCCCCCGTGTTGAGGATCAGCGTGGCAGATGTGTTGTTACCTACCCTTACCACCTGGGGGCGGCCCGTCAGGAAGTCCAGGATCCAGTTGCAGAGGGAGGTGTTTAGTCCCAGGATCCTTAGCTTAGTGATGAGCTTTGAGGGCACTATGGTGTTGACCACAGAGCTGTAGTCAATGAACAGCATTCTCACGTAGGTGTTCCTCTTGTCCAGGTGGGAAAGGGCAGTGTGGAGTGCAATAGAGATTGCATCTTCTGTGGATCTGTTGGGGCGGTATGTAAATTGGAGAGGGTCTAGGGTTTCTGGGATAATGGTGTTGATGTGAGCCATGACCAGCCTTTCAAAGCACTTCATGGCTACAAACGTGAGTGCTACGGGTCGGTAGTCATTTAGGCAGGTTATCTTAGTGTCCTTGGGCACAGGGACTATGGTGGTCTGCTTGAAACATGTTGGTATTACAGACTCACTCAGGGACATGTTGAAAATGTTTAGTGAAGACACTTGCCAGTTGGTCAGCACATGCTCGGAGTACACATCCTGGTAATCCGTCTGGCCCTGCGGCCTTGTGAATGTTGACCTGCTTAACAGTCTTACTCACATCGGCTACGGAGAGCGTGATCACATAGTCATCCGGAACAGCTGGTGCTCTCATGCATGCTTCAGTGTTGCTTGCCTCGAAGCGAGCATAGAAGTGATTTAGCTCGTCTGGTAGGCTTGTGTCACTGGGCAGCTCGCAGCTGTGCTTCCTTTTGTAGTCTGTAATAGTTTTCAAGCCCTGCCACATTTAATTTTAATTTTACCTTTATTTAACTAGGCAAGTCAGTTAAGAACAAATTCTTATTTACAATGACGGCCTACACCGGCCAAACCCGGACGACGCTGGGCCAATTGTGCGCCGCCCTATGGGACTCCCAATCACGGCTGGTTGTGATACAGCCTGGAATCGAACCAGGGGGTCTGTAGTGACTCCTCAAGCACTGAGATGCAGTGCCTTAGACCGCAACGCCACTCGGGAGCCCCACATCCGACGAGCGTCAGAGCTGGTGTAGCACGATTCAATCTTAGTCCTGTATTGACTCTTTGCCTGTTTGATGGTTCGTCGGAGGGCATTGCGGGATTTCTTATAAGCGTCCGGGTTAGAGTCCCGCTCCTTGAAAGCGGCAGCTCTACCCTTTAGCTCAGTGCGGATGTTGCCTGTAATCCGTAGCTTCTGGTTGGGGTATGTACGTACAGTCACTGTGGGGACGACGTCATCGATGCACTTATTGATGAAGCCAGTGACTGATGTGGTGTACTCCTCAATGCTATCTGAAGAATCCCGGAACATATTCCAGTCTGTGCTAGCAAAACAGTCCTGTAGCTTAGCATTTGCATCATCTGACCACTTTTTGATTAACCGAGTCACTGGTGCTTCCTGCTTTAGTTTTTGCTTATAAACAGGAATCAGGAGGATAGAGTTATGGTCAGATTTGCCAAATGGAGGGCGAGGGAGAGCTTTGTATGCGTCTCTGTGTGTGGAGTAAAGGTGGTCTAGAGTTTGTTTTCCTCTGGTTGCACATTTAACATGCTGGTAGAAATTAGGTAGAACGGATTTAAGTTTCTCTGCATTAAAGTCCCCGGCCACTAGGAGCGATGCCTCTGGATGAGCGTTTTCCTGTTTACTTATGGCTTTATACAGCTCATTGAGTGCAATCTTAATGCCAGCATCGGTTTGTGGTGGTAGATAGACAGCTACGAAAAATATAGATGAAAAGTATCTTGGTAAATAGTGTGGTCTACAGCTTATCATGAGATACTCTACCTCAGGCGAGCAAAACCTCGAGACTTCCTTAGTATTAGATTTTGTGCACCAGCTGTGGTTTACAAATAAATACACTATATATACACAAAAGTATGTGGACAACCCTTCAAATTAGTGGATTCGGCTATTTCAGCCACACCCGTTGCTGACAGGTGTATAAAATCGAGCACACCGCCATGCAATCTCCATAGACAAACATTGGCAGTAGAATGGCCTTACTGAAGAGCTCAGTGACTTTCAACGTGGCACCGTCATAGGATGCCACCTTTCCAACAAGTCAGTTCATCAAATTTCTGCCGTGCTAGATCTACCCCGGTCAACTCTAAGTGTTGTTATTGTGAAGTGGAAAGGTCTAGGAGTAACAACGGCTCAGCCGCGATGTGGTAGGCCACACAAGCTCACAGAACAAGACTGCAGAGTGCTGAAGCGCGTAGCACGTAAAAATAGTCTGTCCTCGGTTGCAACACTCACTACAGAGTTCCAAACTGCCTCTGGAAACAACGTCAGCACAATAGTTATTTGTTGAGAGCTTCATGAAATGGGTTTCCATGGCCGAGCAGCCGCACACAAGCCTAAAATCACCATGTGCAATGCCAAGCGTCAGCTGGAGTGGTGTAAAGCTCGCCGCCATTGGACTCTGGAGCAGTGGAAACGCGTTCTCTGGAGTGATGAATCACGCTTCACCATCTGGCAGTCCAACGGATTAATCTGGGTTTGGTGGATGCCATGAGAACGCTACCTGCCCCAATGCATAGTGCCAACTGTAAAGTTTGGTGGAGGAGGAATAATGGTCTGGTGCTGTTTTTCATGTTTCGGGCTATGCCCCTTAGTTCCAGTGAAGGGAAATCTTAAAGCTACAGCATACAATGATATTCTAGATGATTCTGTGCTTCCAACTTTGTGGCAACAGTTTGGGGAAGGCCCTTTCCTGTTTCAGCATGACAATGCCCCCAAGCACATAGCGAGGTCCATACAGAAATTGTTTGTCGAGATCGGTGTGGAAGAACTTAACTGGCCTGTACAGAGCCCTGCCCTCAACCCCATCGACACCTTTGGGATGAATTGGAACTCCAGGCCCAACATCAGCGCCCGACCCCACTAATGCTCTTGTAGCTGAATGGAAGCAAGTCCCCGCAGCAATGTTCCAACATCTAGTGGAATGCCTTTCCAGAAGAGTGGAGGTTGTTATAGCAGCAACTCCATATTAATGCCCATGATTTTGGAATGAGATGTTCAACGAGCAGGAGTCCACATACTTTTGGTTATGTAGTGTATATTGTATGAGCCTATCTAAATGAGGCTGATCTTCCTACCATTTGGTGCTGGGATCCAAACATGGTGTTACAGGGGACGGTGCACAGGCTGGACAGAGGCAGACCCAGCTGAGGAAGAGAGGATTTCTGTTAAAGTCAATCTACATTGAATAACTTCTGAAATATCTGCTCTTACAACACCAAAATAACATCAGAAAGGTCTGTCTGTGTGTCTTCATGTAAGTACATGCAATGTGTTTCTATGCCTGCTTCTACTCCTACTTGGCTGCAGAGGTGCTGTCCCAGGCCAGGCCTGCAGGTGGTGCTCTGATAAATGACAGGCTGTCTGGAGTTGAGCACCATGTAGCCCTCTGTGGAGTAGTCCTCATAGCGGGCATTGATGACCAGGCGACACACCTTCAGCAGGCCCTCTCGGTCATCCTCATGGTAGTATGCTGAGCCACTCTCATACCTGGCAGGACATCAAAATCAAATGAGCAATGCACCAGGAACAAACACACACATGCACTCGACAGACAGACCCAGACACACCTGAAGAGTCTGCAGAGCCAGAGTGTTGTGTCAGACGCGATGCGTGTGATCAGCTTCCTGAGTCTCTCCCTGTCCAGCACTGAGATGTAGGCTGCTAGGCTGTGTCCTAGCAACGCCATGTGACCCTGCTCTCCGACGTTCTGCATCCTGCTGGGGGACATTTACATTTTAGTCATTTAGCAGACGCACTTATCCAGAGCGACTTACAGGAGCAATTAGGGTTAAGTGCCTTGCTCAAGGGCACATCGACAGATTTTTCACCTAGTTGGCTCGGGGATTAGAACCAGCTACCTTTCGGTTACTGGCACAACGCTCTTAACCACTAAGCTACCTGCCGCCCCGGGACGAGACACACACAGGAAGTGAGGTCACAAAGATGTGATGATGTTGATAAACTGTATTATACTGATAGTAATGGGAATATTTAAGATGAATAAAGTTCATATACAGTGAAGAGTGATTAACACAATCCTTAGCATATTTATATGTTTACATGTTCTGTTTGTGCAAGGTTCTGTTGATAGTGATTGACGCCAGACTGGAGGTACAAGGACACTGATTATTACTGTATTCTGTAGCAGCTGACAATGTCACTGCAATTTGTTTTGACTTCCTACAAGCCTTCTTGGGCTGGTTTTTACAGAACACTTGGTACTGTCTGATTAGAATAGAAAGGGCCTGTCTCCAAGAGGCCAGACAGACATTTTCTCTGCCTCTGTTCTGGAGGCGTCTCCCTGTTGCAACTTGTAATATACCGGATAGATCTTTTATTGATATTATCAAAGACTTCTCTTCTTTTTGTTCACCTGGAAATTCCTATTACCCTGATTTTTAAAAAATTCTAAGAAGGACTTCTAACTGACATATGCTCTCAGTAGTGGTGTTCTAATGTTAAACCTACCGATGGCTTGGCTTGTCTTCCTCCTCATCTTCATGCATGAGATTCTGGACCAGCTGGAGTATACTGGCCACATCCTGCCCACTGGAAGTTAGGAACAAAACACACAATGTGTTGTTTGAGGGGACTCATTGCTTCTGTGAAATACCATCCACATTTGTTTGTGTGAGAGGGAGAAAGAGAGACAGACAGAGAAAGACACTAGATTGAGAGTGAGTAACAGGGGTATCTGCTGTACTTACTCTCCCTGTAGGGGTCCGGGGATACTACTCCTGCTGAACTGGCGTCTATCTGCATGCGGTTCTGATGCACTGGAGAGAAAGAAACGGCAAAACAAACAAGTCAGATAGTCATTCAGGTGTGTGCATCTGACTTGTGTAAACATGCATGCATACAGTATGTGCGACAGTATGTACGTCATTAACAGCCAGTGTAATACTCGTCAATATATCTTTACGAACAAACACCAATTCATAAAAGCTTACTTTCGGCCATCCTCCAGGATCTTCATGGCCTCGTTGAGGTTCTTGCCCATTTCAGCGAGTGTGGGGTCGACCATCATCTAGGGTCAGAGGTCAGAGACTGAGGAAAAAGACACTAAACCAGCTGGACACCTCATTCCATCTCAGGGTTACAGACAGAGCCATAGCCAGAGGCTAGGTAAAAACACAGCTTATCATTCAGTTCTTTTGCCCCCTAATGCCTTATATTTAACACTCTAATCCTCCCTTAACCCTCCTCTGTCATCTATTGGACTGCACATTGAGGCGGATCAGAGGTAGAGTAGACAGAGGTCAATCTAATTGTTAACATTAGTCAAATATTGACATTGGCAAGACGTAACAGACTCTACCCTGGTCTAGCTCATGTTATTGCCAATTCCAGGCGACTGGAGAAGCAGTTGAAAGTAAATACAGTCTGACTATAACTTCCATTCATTACCAGTGGTGCCTCAAGGCCCTCATTTCTGTCTGAAATGATAATGGTGTAGTTATGGATACACCCGTTATGTGATAGAGTTGGATTGCCTGTGTAATTTAATAAAACCGGATTTTCTGCTACTACACCATGCCACTCAATAGATTTATGATGCATGATCTGCCTAAATATTTGTCTTAAAGTAAATGTCAGTTAACATCCTTGATCATAATGACTCTCTCTGGCTGTCTCTTACCCCATTCATAGACGTTAACTGCTTTAGCGCCTCCTGAAGTATATTCTGACCGGGGTAGTTTTGTTAAGAGCCTCGACACTTGCTCTATAACACGCATCGTTTGCGGTTCGGTTTTGGAAACATAAGGAACGTATCTTTCATATCAAAGAAAAATACTACAGTTGTATTGGGTTATTGTTCCCACACAGTCATATCTCCAAGTTATATCACTTGTTTACGGAAGACATAGGTGGCCACCTGTGTTAAATAGCCATCTAGCATGCTCCGAACACCTGCGTGTAATCGTAACTGTGGAGAAAGTGTAGTTCGTCAACTGGAGGCACACACATCTTGTGGATCTGTGCAAAACTGCTAAAGTTAGTGTATATTTTTTATTTGAAAGATTATAAGGGGCATATCAGCATGTTTCGAAAACCGGTTTGAAAGCGATGATTATTGTCTCTATGGTGCTTTCAAGACAACTGGGAACACATGACGGCAGTGATCTTCAAATCGGAGTTCTTGAATGATGCCCGAGTTTTCGACTTGGAATTCCGAGTTGGATGACCGTTAAACGATTTTTCCCAGTCGGAGCTAGTTTTTCCCCCGCGTTCCCACTTGTCTTGATGGCGATGAAGACGGAGATTTCAGAGTTCCCAGTTGTTCTGAACGCGGCAACTGTGCTAGTCAGTCAACTAGCCGTGACCATCCATAACAAATTAGCAGCATCGTCATCACGATGATAAGCAGTTTTATAAATGGAAGGTGGCAGCTTCTTAATTGACGACATTATGCCAAGAAGAAACAATGACATGCACTGGTTTAATGCCACATTGCATTGCGTTTATCAAGGAAATAAATCTAGTTCCGCGTAATTCTTAACAATGACATCTGATTTACCGCTGTTGGTGCTGCTAGCATTGCTAGCCATAATTTGCCTAGCGTTACCGCTTGGACCGCTCGTCCGTGCTTACCTTGTGATGCGGTGGCTCCGGACAGTTGGAAAGCTTGATTAAAGGATACGCCGTCTATCCCCTCTGTATGGGCGTGGGGAATATTATAATATTGACAGGTAAACAGCTTCGTTATCCCGCTAACTCCTATAAATGTTCACTTCCTGGACTGGCGCTCCGTATTCCACGCTGGCAGAGCTGACGTTTCGCTACACCACCAATGTGGTGCTGTGTGTATCTTGATTGGCTGATAGGTGCTTAGCTGACTAGCAGGCAGTGGAGTGGAGGGTTTTTGAATTGGGCCCCAGTAATACTTTGAAATAGCCTAATAATTAATTCCTCCATGAATTGAAGGAATGATCTATTTGGATAAATAGATGAGAGCAGGGCCTCTAGTGCATAATGCACCTGTCCATCAGACAGATAAGTGATTATTTCAGTGAAGGGAGGATGTATCCAAACAGAGGGAGAATCTCAATTGCGCTTCCTTGATTCCTCACGTCCTCTCTCCAGTTTCCACTAGATAAAACGGCCACAAAGTAAAAATTGGCTTTATTTTACAATTTATCTTATTAAAATCTGATTTTAAACCTAACCTTAACCTTAACCCTAACCGTAACCACACTGATAACCTTATGCTTAACCCTAACCTAAAATTAAGACAAAAAGCTGATTTTTGTTTTTAATGAATTTTTACGATATAGCCCATTTATACTTTATGTTTGTGTTATCTAGTGGAAACCACTCCCAATTGGATGAGGTCAGAGAGGAGGGGACGTGAAGAATCAAGGAAATGCAATTGAGATTCTCCCAGAGTGTGCAGTACACGTTCTTATTATTTTACCTCAGTGGTAGTACCCTAGAATAGATGATGACTAATAATAAATATGGATGTACACTCCCCTATGTAATTATTTGGACAGTGAAGCTAAAACTTTTAATTTGGCTCTATACTGCTGCATTATGGATTTGAGATAAAATGTTTTACGTGAGGCGTAAGTACAGAATGTAATTTATTTGAGTTTTTTTTCATACATATCTGTTTTACCATTTAGAAATGAAAGCGCCGTGTATCAAGTCCCCCCATTTGAAGGTGCCAGAAGTACACTACATTACCAAAAGTATGTGGACACCTGCTCGTCGAACATCTCATTCCAAAATCATGGGCATTAATATGGAGTTGGTCCCCTCTTTGCTGCTATAACAGCCTCCATTCTTCTGGGAAGGCTTTCCACTAGATGTTGGAACATTGCTGTTGGGACTTGCTTCTATTCAGCCACAAGAGCATTAGTGAGGTCGGGCACTGATGTTGGGCAATTAGGCCTGGCTCGCAGTCGGCGTTCCAATTCATCCCAAAGGTGTTCGATGGGGTTGAGGTCAGGGCTCTGTGCAGGCCAGTCAAGTTCTTCCACACCGATCCCGACAAATAATTATTGTGCTGACGTTCCTTACAGAGGCAGTTTGGAACTTGGTAGTGAGTGTTGCAACCGAGGACCGACGATTTTTACGCGCTACGCGCTTCAGCACTTGGCAGTCCCGTTCTGTGAGCTTGTGTGGCCTACCACTTCACGGCTGAGCCGTTGTTGCTCCTAGATGTTTCCACTTTACAATAAAAGCACTTACAGTTGACCGGGGCAGCTCTAGCAGGGCAGAAATGTGACAAACTTACTTGTTGGAAAGGTGGCATATAATATAATATGCCATTTAGCAGACACTTTTATCCAAAGCGACTTACAGTCATGTGTGCATACATTTTTACGTATGGGTGGTCCCGGGGATCGAACCCACTACCCTGGTGTTACAAGCGCCATGCTCTACCAATTGAGCTACAGAGGACCACATCCTATGACGGTGCCACATTGAAAGTCACTGAGCTCTTCAGTAAGGCCATTCTACTGCCAATGATTTTCAATGGAGATTGCATGGCTGTGTGCTCGATTTTAAACACCTGTCAGCAACCGATGTGGCTGAAGAAGCCGAATCCACTAATTTGATGGGGTGTCCACATACTTTTGTATATTCAGTGCATTCGGAAAGTATTCAGAACCCTTCCCTTTTTCCACATTTTGCTACGTTACAGCTTTATTCTAAAATTGATAAAATACATCTACACACAATACCCCCTAATGACAAAGCAAAAACAGGTTTTTAGAAATTTAGCAAATGTATTAAAAATAAAAAAACAGAAGTATTCAGACCTTTTTCTATGAGACTCGAAATTCAGCTCAGGTGCATCCCGTTTCCACTGATCATCATTGAGATGTTTCTACAACTTGATTGGAGAACCTGTGGTAAAGTCAATTGATTGGACATGATTTGGAAAGGCACTCACCTGTCTATATAAGGTCCCACAGTTGACAGTGCATGTCAGAGAAAAAACCAAGCCATGAGGTCGAAGGAATTGTCTGTAGAGCTCAGAGACAGGATTGTGTCGAGGCACAGATCTGGGGAAGGGTACCAAAACATTTCTGTAGCATTGAAGGTCACCAAGAACACAGTGGCCTCCATCATTCTTAAATGGAAGAAGTTTGGAACCACCAAGACTCTTACTAGAGCTTGCCGTCTGGCCAAACTGAGCATTCGGGGGAGAAGAGCCTTGGTCACTCTATAAACATGGCAGCATCCACATTAATTTAGAAGTGTTCAGAAACATATTCTATTCTTATTTACAATAAAAGTGACTCCAATATGACACAATACATTATTTACCATTCATTTCTATTGGGCACAACATAATCCGAAACACAACGAAAACAAACTAAAAATGCATCTAACACGTTGGTAGAGTCACAAGCTTGATGTAGTCATTGCGTCCTAGTAATATGGAACCAAATATTAAACTTGTGACTAAATTGAATACACTATAAGCGAATTTGTCCAAATACTTATGACACCTTCAAATGGAGGAGACTAGATACATAAAGTACATTCATTTCTAAATAGTAAAACAGATATGTATAAAAATATCCTAAAATAAAAGGATATTTGATCTCTAATCCAAAATGCTGGAGTATAGAGCTAAATTTAAACGTTTTAGCTTCACTGTCCAAATAGATATGTAGGGCAGTGTATATAGCTGCACCGTTGAAACATGCAGATGCAGATGAGCCAGTGTTCATTCAATGGTTGTAGGTAGCCCAGCGGGAGTTGGACCTGTAGCCGAAAGGTGTCCAGTTCATGTCCCGGGCCGGGTGCTGGAAGAAGGGCGGAATTGATCGGGCAACTGGAGAGCTGCTGGGTTCACATCCTCAAGATATTCCCCTACCGTTGAGCCCTTGAGCAAGGTCCTTAACCCCACAACATGCTCTCCATCCAGGGATGCTGCACTGCAGCTTGACCCTGTGCTCATCTCAACTGTACAGTTGAAGTCGGAAGTTTACATACACTTAGGTTGGAGTCATTAAAACTCATTTTTCAACCACTCCACAAATTTCTTGTTAACAAACTATAGTTTTGGCAAGTCGGTTAGGACATCTACTTTGTGCATGACACAAGTAATTTTTCCAACAATTGTTTACTGACAGATTATTTCACTTATAATTCACTGTATCACAATTCCAGTGGGTCAGAAGTTTACATACACTAAGTTGACGGTGCCTTTAAACAGCTTGGAAAATTCCAGAAAATGATGTCATGGCTTTAGAAGCTTCTGATAGGCTAATTGACATCATTTGAGTCAATTGGAGGTGTGCCTGTGGATGTATTTCAAGACCTACCTTCAAACTCATTTGCTTGACATCATGGGAAAATCAAAAGAAATCTGCCAAGACCTCAGATTTTTTTTTTTGTTGACCTCCACAAGTCTGGTTCATCCTTGGGAGCAATTTCCAAACGCCTGAAGGTACCACGTTCATCTGTACAAACAATAGTACGCAAGTATAAACACCATGGGACCACGCAGCCGTCATACCGCTCAGGAAGGAGACGCGTTCTGTCTCCTAGAGATGAACGTACTTTGGTACAAAAAGTGCAAATCAATCCCAGAACAACAGCAAAGGACCTTGTGAAGATGCTGGAGGAAACGGGTACAAAAGTATTTATATCCACAGTAAAACGAGTCCTATATCGACATAACCTAAAAGGCCACTCAGCAAGGAAGAAGCCACTGCTCCAAAACCGCCATAAAAAAGCCAGACTACGGTTTGCAACTGCACATGGGGACAAAGATTGTACTTTTTGGAGAAATGTCCTCTGGTCTGATGAAACAAAAATAGAACTGTTTTGAGGAAAAAGGGTGGACTTGCAAGCCGAAGAACACCATCCCAACCGTGAAGCATGGGGGTGGCAGCATCATGATGTGGGGGTGCTTTGCTGCAGGAGGGACTGGTGCACTTCACAAAATAGATGGCATCATGAGGAAGGAAAATTATGTGTATATATTGAAGCAAATCCTCAAGACATCAGTCAGGAAGTTAAAGCTTGGTCGCAAATGGGTCTTCCAAATGGACAATGACCCCAAGCATTCTTCCAAAGTTGTGGCAAAATGGCTTAAGGACAACAAAGTCAAGGTATTGGAGTGGCCATCACAAAGCCTTGACCTCAATCCTATAGAAAATGTGTGGGCAGAACTGAAAAAGCATGTGCGAGCAAAAAGGCCTACAAACCTGACTCAGTTACACCAGCTCTGTCAGGAGGAATGGGCCAAGATTCGCCCAACTTATTGTGGAAAGCTACCCGAAACGTTTGACCAAAGTTAAACAATTTAAAGGCAATGCTACCAAATACTAATTGAGTGTGTGTAAACTTCTGACCTACTGGGAATGTGAAGGAATAAATAAAAGCTGAAATAAATCACTCTCTCTACTATTATTCTGACATTTCACATTCTTAAAATAAAGTGGTGATCCTAACTGACCTAAGACGGGGAACTTTTACTAGTATTAAATGTCAGGAATTGTGAAAAACTGAGTTTAAATGTATCTGGCTAAGGTGTATGTAAACTTCTGACTTCAACTGTATGTGTGGTGATGTACACATACGTGTATGGAGCAGAAGACACATTTCCGTTGTTTGCTGTAACATATGGGCAATAAAGCTGTATTGTATAATATTTTCTCAACCTCACATGTATCAGGTATTGATTCTGCCCACTGGACACAAACTGGTTGAATCAACATTGTTTCAATGTAATTTGTCAACATATTGTGTTGTGGAATCTACGTGGAAAATACAA